GGTATTTACATGCCAGATATGCTAAACATTCGTATGCCCCTTCATACTTTGGCCATCATTCCAGAGGACATGCTTCCATGCGGATGATGCTCGTTAAAAAAATAATGCGTTAATTACATTTGACTGAACTCCTTGGGGGAGAATTGTATGTCTCCTGTTCTGTTTTACCTGCATTCTGACATATATTTCATGTTATAGCAGTCTCAGATGACCCAGTACACGTTCATTTTAAGAACACTTTCACAGCAGATTTGACAAAACGCAAAGAAGGTACCAATGTGAGATTTCTAAAAATAGCTACAGCACTTGACCCAAGGTTTAAGAATCTGAAGTGCCATCCAAAATCCAAGAGGGACGAGGTGCGGAGAATGCTTTCGGAAGACTTAAAAGAGCAACACTGAGATGTGGAAACTACAGAACCCGAACTGCCAAAAAAGAAAATCAGCTTGCTGCTGGTGGCATCTGACTGAGATGATGAAAATGAACATACATTGATCCACTCTGCTTTGGATCGTTACTGAGCAGAACCTGTCACCAGTATGGATGCGTGTACTCTGGAATGGTGGTTGAAGCATGAAGGGACATATCTTTAGCGCATCTGGCACAGAAATACCTTGCGATGCCAGCCACAACAGTGCCATGTGAATGCCTGTCTCACTTTCAGGTGACATTGCAAACAAGAAGCGAGCAGCATTATCTCCTGCTAATTGTAATCAAATTTGTTTGTCTGAGCGATTGGCTGGAGTAGGAGTGAGTGGACTTGTAGGCGCTAAAGTTTTAAATTTTATTTTTGAATGCACTTATTTTCTGTACATAATTCTACATTTGTTAAGTTCAACTTTCATGATAAAGAGATTGCACTACAGTACTTGTATTAGATGAACTGAAAAATACTATTTCTTTTGTTTTTTACAGTGCAAATATTTGTAATAAAAAATATAAAGTGAGCAGTATATACTTCGTATTCTGTTTTGTAATTGAAATCAATATATTTGAAAATGTAAAAAACTTTAAATAAATATTTAATAAATGGTATTCTATTAACAGTGCGATTAGTTTTTTTTAAATCGCCTGACAGCCCTATAATTTATATTAGAAGTGTGTAAGTTGAAAAATGTTGAAATTGACATGTTCCTGCAAACAATTCTGATTGCAATGAAACCGTATTTTGTGATGAAAATCTGTTCCAAATAAAATTTTTTGACCAGTTCTAATAGTCACCTTGTGGTAAATAACTTAAGTATATTATGTGAGTGCAGGGGTTATCAAGAGACTTTATGTATCTAGAAAAGAGCCCTAAAGAAAAAGAATCAAATTGCATTTATTATGAAGTATGAAAAATAATTTTTGATTAATGTTGAAATAATGGTTGTGTACTATCTTCCCAGGATTGAACTCTCCTAACATTAAGGATAAAACTACATTCTGATACTACGCCCAAAGGCACTTACTTTTCCGATCACCCTGCGCAAACTGGATTTCTATCTGACGGCCACAAATCCACTTCCGATCCAAATTATGGAGGGCATCTTCAGCATCACGGACATCTTCAAATGTGCTAAGCGTTAAGGTACTTGGGAATTTGAGTAGTTAACAACTTCAAATTAACAGTTTTTCCTGGATTTTTAATCTCACTATAGGGCAAACTAAAAACTGTCTCCCATTAACTGTAAGGTTGTAGAAGAATTTTTGGAGAGAGAATACTATACAAATCTTTTGATATAGGTACAACCAAGAGTATTTATCCTTTAATGAACAATCACCATGTAACTCCATAGCCTTCTTTTCTCCTATATATACACACTGATGTATCAAAAGTAGTTAAAGAAGTTTAGTTATTAGTGACCTTATTCTCTAGGTTTGCCTTACCCTCCCGCCCCCCAAAAAGAGGGGGGGATGCTAACTCTTAAAATGCTTACGCAACATTAGTAAAAAGTGAAAATTCTGCATTCATTACATGACTGTATTCATGAAACTTATTCCCTTTTCACCTACTCCTTTAAAACTGATTATGGACTTTCAGCAATTGTTACTCAAATATATAGACCACTGTATTCTATTAAAAAATAAAGCATATACTGAAACATTAAGCTATGGATTAGATGATCAATATCTTAAATCCCTAAGACTGTTCACTGTAATTCACTCATACTCCTCTGTCTAGCTGACTTGAAAGAATAAATCATCTGTATTGGTCTGCATACCAACTTCGTCCATCATCTCCTGGTTACCATATAGGCATAGTTATCTTGATAAATAAACCAAGAATGAATGCATTTCATTCAAGACAGTTACAATTTCAATACCACCCACAAGTGAAATATTATAGGTTCTGTCAACAGACTAAACCAGAATAATTTATCAAGTTACCACTTACACGAGAAACAGAAAAAACGGTTATTCTGTAGGATACATCAGGTATGACTCCTTTAATCTTGGCCACCATTCAACTTCATCTTGACCTTTAACTCTTTAAGTGCTTGTCAGAAGGACTTGTCATGAGATGCTTGGTCAAAAATGACAGATGGCTTTATCTTTTACTTTGAAAAACAACCTTTTCCCCCTTTTGTAGATAAAGCGAAGCTTTGTCTCCCATTATGGCTTGTCCTTCTTCCAGCTTTTCTTTACTTTTTCTTTTCCCAAACTCTCCCTTCTCTTCAAGCCTGATCCTTAAGAGGTCTTTGGCTTGTCTACTTGCCTTAATTGTTGAACTCTACTCTAAAGGTTCTTTCATGCTTTCTCTTTGGGGTCGCCATTACTGTACAGCTTTACATTCTCTGAGGCAACAACAGAGGACAGTAAATTAGGGGACAATATTAAAGAAAGAAGTTTACCTCATTTTTATACAAACTGCTTTTGATCAAGTGATTCCAATTTCCATGTTTTTAAATTAACAATGAATACCAGCCACAATTTGCTAAGCACAAGAACAAATTAACTTTCAGTATCAGTTATATTAAAAATGTGGTAGACACTTCCGAGTCAGTGATAATTGTCATTTAAATCATATAGTATCAATTTAAGTGACAGATATGCAACAAAATAGCTCTTATCTTACTGGATTTGGTTTAAAGTTTTGCAAAAAAGGTAAAGAGCAATTTGTGAGGAGTTAATCTTTGAAAAAAATGGAATACGCCACAATAAGACATTTATTAGATATAACACAAAAGTAAACTGCTTTTTCATTTAGATTTGTTACCTCTTACACAAACTTGAATTTCAAACTTCAACACCCCTCACTAATCAGCCATCTGAAGAAAGGATATTGAACATAAGCAAATCCTCTTGGACGACGAGTGTAGAAATCAAGTGGAACGTACACATCAACTATAGGCCCATAACGACCAAACTCACGACGCAAGTCTTCAGACCTGAAATACCATAAATACATTTTTATATATTCTTTCACTTTTTACATTTAAATTGCAAACTGAAATATTTAAAGAAACTATTGAAAAAATTTTGAATCAAATATGGCCAAAGCTTGTTTTTAGAACTAACTAGATGATAAAGTACAAACAAAAAAATCTGAGTAATTAGTCTTTATGATAAAATTAATCAGAATAAATTAAAAACCTAAATCAACTGTGGGTGCTAAAGCTCCCAAGGTGTTTAAAAATCTTGGAATAATTAAAATTTTATGCTAGCATCTTAGAATCTGAAAACTCAGTGTAATTCAATATTGGGCAAGTGTAAATGGAGAAAAATACATGTAATGGTATATTTAGTAAACAGTACTGAATTACTGAAGGTGGGTGGGAAACAGCAGATCTCAGAGAAGCTTTTTCTTAAATTTTTTTGTAAGACTTCTAATTCCATGTTTTTGCACCATGAAAACAGCAAGTTAGAACATTTGGAAATTCAAGAAAGATCCACAAAAATAAGTCACTCTACCTAACACGCTGAATTTTTCAGACACATCAAACAACACTAGTCTAAAACAGCCATTCAAGCCACTAAGAGTTAATTGCTTCATGGAGGTGATCTAACAAAAGAGTATAATTCTGTTCAATAGGTTTGTCACTGTTTGGAATCATCCCCTCTTCCCCTCCAACATCATCAACTCTCTCATACAGATTTCACTGTATGTTATTTTAGATGCATAAAATGGCCCTGGCTGGGAAAGTCAATGATGAACATTTACCACTATTTCCTCACAGCCTGTGGAAGAACGCATGACACACACCAGTTATAAGAACTCAGGAGATAAACAAAGATTCAATAGGAAATCTCCACATCATGGTATCTGTACAAAGGGCAGAGTTTTCACAGCAAGTTATAGAAAGGGACCAAATAGGTTCCCCATTCTTTTCATAAGTTGTATGTAATAGTTTTCTTCCTCAACTGTTGAGGTCATTAAATACATTTCCCTCTAAAACTAATCACAAGTATAATCACAGAGGAAAGGCAGGTGATCACACAAAAAAAGCTCTCAACACAACCTATTTCCAATTCAGAACTATCAGTACCATACGGAAAAAAAATGCAACTCCTACTTCATCCCATCATTTCTATTTCAATGTTATTTATTGCATGACTCCTTTAGGGTAGATTATTTTCCTGATAGCAAGTTAAACACTATAACCTTAGACCTTAATCCTGCATGCCACAAAAGCAAGTCTTACTGACTTAAATAGGATTTATAGAGAAATCTCTGACCTTTAATTTATAAATGTACTTTATATAGACTACCAAAATCAAAAACACTAACTTTCTAAACATTGTACTTTTTATTTATAAGTGTCAGAAGATATTAAAAAGGTATAAGGGAAATGTGATAGAATGAGCAGTTTGCTAAAATACCCAGAGTACAAAACAGAAAAATATGTTGTACAATTCCTTAACACTTCCATTTCTTGATGAAGGTTCAGCAGTCTTATGTATCGGGAACGTGGATACTTTTACTTTAGACAACAGTGAAATGTAAAAACAACGAGGAGTCCGGTGGCACCTTTTAAGTGCCACCGGACTCCTCGTTGTTTAACACGGCTACCCCTCTGATACGCGAAACGTAACTTTAGACAACTCCTCCCCTTACTTATTTCTCGCTAATTACGGAAAACCCGCCATTCAACACCTTACAGAGGAATTGGTGCAGTAACAGCCTGACCCAACAGGGACCAACACAACGCACGGGTGCGGGGGGCGCGCAGCCTCTGCACACTAAGAGCCTCTGGCGCTTTTCCAGCTCCCGGCAATCGCTGTTTCTCCGGAGGCTCCAGACTCTACCCTCGAGGGACCAGTGTTTGAAACCAGCGGGTGTGGGGAAGCGACACGTGACGGCGCACACATGTCCCGGAGCGCAGAATTTGGCCCCCGGGTTACCCTCACAACCCCTGCCTCGCGCCGAGCAAGCGCCAGCTAATCGGCGGGGTCTCTACGGCGACCCTGCTTTCCGTAAGTTTCCCCCTCCCGGGTTTTGTCCCGCGGTTTCCCGAACTCAGCGCGCTGGGGCAAGCGGCTGAGAGCCCGGGCGGGAGGGAGAAAACGGAAGGCGTGTGAGGAATGGAGGCTATGAGAAAGATAGGGAAGAAGGAAACGGCCTGGGGCTCCTTTCCCCTTCCTCAGGGAACACCCCCTCCCCCTCATATGGTGGCTGCCTGCGCGGCCTAGTGAGCCCGCCAAAGCCTGCGCAGCCCTCGCGCCATGCGCCCGCCCGCCCCTCCCAGCGCCCCTGCCCGAGCCCCCTTCCCTGGATCCCCCCCGCACTTACACACACCTGGTGTCGTCGGCCACATTCCGCACGAACAGCGAGGTGTTGGGGGGGCGCAGGTAGCGGGACATGGCGGCGGCGGCTCCCAGGCAGGGCCCAGACGCGGAGGAGAAAAGAGGAGCGAAGCGACTCTCCGGGGAGAGACAGCGCCACCACTATCAACGGCCTCGCCGCCTCTCGCGAGACTTCGGAGCGCTTCCGGCGAGAACCCAGCCAGAACAAGCAGGAGGGGCGGTAGAAGAAAGAGAGCAGGCGCCAAACTGCCGCCGCACCTCGCTTTGCGCGTGCGCCAAGTCCTCTCGTGGCGATGCGCACGCGCCGATCCCCTGTGTCCTTGCTTCGCCACCAGCTCTAGAGGTCCTACGGTCTGTTTTTTCCGCACCTGTACAGCCCGCCGCTTATTCAGCGCATGCGCTGCACGGTACCGCCCGCTCAACCCGCGCTTGCTGTCTCGCGCGGCAGTGGCGTGCTGTTGGCTGGGTGCGCGCCGCCCGATCCCTTTCCCGCCCGAACAGAGCTGAGGCGCTGAGCGCGCGCCTGACTCTCCCTTCTCAGGCGAGGAATGGGGAAGATGGAGGGAGGGGAACCGGCGCCTGAGGGGCAGCATAACCCATGGTGCAGGCTGCTGCTGTAAGGGGCAGAGAGCCTCCAACCCCACACTATTACTGTAGAGCACCACACCCCTCGGTCTAGCCAGACAATAGACAAGGGCAGCTCTGCCCTAAATGAAGGGCAAAGTGGTGCACACGTAGGTGCAGTGATGCAGGGTAACGGTGACTACTACCCCAATCCTCATCCAGCAAGGTATGCACAGCCTGAAATGCCATGCTGTGTGGCAGGATAAGTCTCTCTACCATGACACCAGCAATTTACAAGGTGACATTGGAATGCTAGTGCTAGCCCACCTTGGATGCCTGCATGGCATCCAAATCTCAACATGCTGCACCATCCAAAATGCTGACATGTAACCTCTTAGCTGGTGCTGTCAAAACCTTTCATTTTGGTGCCGTTATGTCTTGGCACCATTAGAAAGGCCTTATTGCATCGCAATGGAAGGTCATGATGTTACACATAGAAGCGTCAGTCAGGATGCTTCACAGGACCAAAAAGTGATTTCAGGACTCAAGGAGAGGATAGCTGTTAACCAAAGTCATGATGTTTCTTATTTTATGGGAAAGAGCATGGGCTTGTGGTATGAGCGATTGGCTGAGAGTCAGGGCCCCTGTGTGCCATACCTGCCTTTGCTACTGACTCACTAGGTGACCTTGGGTAAGTCACTTGACCTTTCTGTACTTTGTTTTACCCATATGTAAAATGGGGTAATTATACCATTAACACTACCATTACTTGTACAGTGCATGGTGTGTTACTTGTGCATGGTGCTTTACACAAATAAATGAGAGGTCACCAACTATTAAACCAACCTCTGTAGTGGCTGAGTTAATGAAGTGCTCATTAAAGAAACCTGTTGAGGTTCAGATCACATTGGGTGTGGTAATGTATAACAAATCTGAGGAACAGATGGAGACATCACCACAAGCCTGGAACAAGATGCTGCCAGCATTCAACCCTATCTTTCTTTGACCTTTTAACGTACAGACTTTACGGTTGCGTCATTTTAGATAGTGGAACATGAGTAAAACTGTAGCAGTTACAAACACATGCTCCCACTCAGATCCTGTTGTTCTCTCTCACATGCCCACAGTGGTTTGTCATTACTGCAGGTTCAACAAGATTGAAGAAGTGAGATCGCTGGGAAAGGAGGCCTTGTATTTGCATTCTGCCAAATAGAAAAGTGCCTTGGTGGTTATTGTGTCTGAGTAACACTGAGTAAAATCTATGGCCTTTGACTTACGTGATGTACTTTGCTCTTTGGGAGTAGAGATAAGGATCCCGACCTACAGTAATTTGTAAATTATACAATAGGCGTTTCCCTTTCTAACACTCTATCCTGCAGTATACTTATTAGAAGTGGGCATTTGAGCTGAGTACAATGTGCAGTAAATATACAATAAAATTCTATGCACGCACAAAAGCTTCTTTAAAAGAACATGAAACTGGTAATAGCAAGCCAGAAAAGATGGTTGAGGATTAAGCCTACTATATATGAGCACAGCATAATGCAGCTCTGTAGTACCAAAGTGTCTAGCTATTGGTAGGCCAAATTCTGCCCTCAGAAACTCATGTGGAACCACTGAAATCACTTCATGGCAGAATTTGGTGCATAGCAATAAATACATGTAGCCAGGAGTAATTACATATCTTGTTCAGAAGCCTCTGGTATTGGCAGCTGGTAGAGACAAGGTTCTCAACTAGATGGACCATGTCCATTCTGCAGTGTTCAGAATTACAAGATGCAATTATATAAATATTCCCTTGAGGGGTACTGCACATGATTTCACTTGATTTTGGGAGAGGGTGGATGTATCCCTCTTTCACTGCAAGACTTTTCCATGTGTAAATAATGACTTATTTCCCAAACCAGTAACATAAGACCCTTGGCCTAAACTATAGAATCATCACCTGCGTCGTTAACCAGTCTACATTTCCACCCAGTTAATCCATTGCTCTTCCCGTTGCAGATTGCCTTTGTCAAGAGGTCATATCACCAACTCTTTTTGCAGGATGGTCCCAGTTTTTCCCAAAATTGCCTCTGCTATGTGATAGCATTCTCCCACTGTAAATCAGAGCAAGGGCCCCCAGTTCTTGACAGGTTGGAGTAAGGACCTGCACAAAGGACGTACAGTCAAATTCAGATCTCTCACATGGCAGTGGAATGTGCTGAGACTATGTTGCTATGAATAGCCCTGTAGTAGACAATGTTAAAGCTTAAATAATTTGGACATTGCACTGTGTTTGCTCTCAGAATCTGTTATGGAGGTTTAAATACAAATATTTTAAAAAACAGTTTTAATTTTATATATTGATAGGTACTGTTTTCAGAACATCCTACCATTCTATAACCCAATCTCCCTTTGCATTACAGAGCATGGCCGCTGAACTGTTTTCCTAGACTTTCACTGAGTTGGTGAGTTGAATGAGTCTGAATGGGTTTGTGGAGGGAAGTCTTTTATTTGTGGAGGGTTGGGAGCTCTTTTGTGGGCATTAACCCAATGTAACTTTTTGTATGTGTGCGTGTTTTCCTTAAACACATAAGTGCTTAGCATTTTAGACACTTGCTTTAAATTAAATCTAAATAAATACATGTGTATGTCATAATACGTGAAAAGCAATGTAGCATACATTTTTACAAGTTTTAAAACCTGTAATTACAATTTTATTTTACAAAATTGAATATATTTTTAGTTAGACTAGTTCAGAAAAGAACCTGAACGTGTCAAATCTCTTGTACAATGCAATTTACAGATGCAGCACCTGATTGTTGAAGCATTGTGGTTTCCTGGGAATTTACTGTTAGACAACTAATTTTCTTTTTGTATTGTTTCCTTATCTAGCTAGCAACAGTTACCAAGCAACTTACAAACATACCTTTCCAAGCTGTATTGAATGGTTTCTTGCACCACGAAACATTAAAAGAACTTTCTTCCCAAGTTTGTTCTGGCCAACATCTCTTAGTACCTCTGTGGGATTTTGTATACGTGTGCAACTTCCACTGTACTCAAGTTTTAGGACTTATATATATGGGGAAAATTACCAGCATACCTATGCAGGTGTAAGTATACTGGCATTGCTATGCTGGTAAAACTCCCCATGCGGACATTCTTATCTCATTGAAGTCAATGAGAGTTTTTTCAAGTGATTCAATTGGGAATTTAATTTGATCTTTAACAAGCATGCCTCTGAGAGTAAGGGCTTGTCTACTCAGGGGAAATTACCAGCATAGCTATACTGGTAAAACTTCCCATGTGGACACTCTTATCCCAGAATAAGAGTGCTTTTTTCTGATTTAACTTATGGCACTTTCAAAGTGGTGATGTTTGTTGAAGGTCAGATTCTTTTCCCAGTTGAGTCACTTGACAAAACTCCCGTTGACTTCAGTGGGTGAAGAATAGAACTGGCACTAGATATAATAGAATCCACAAAACTGATGACCTGATAAGTGACATGACTGCCATAGTAGGGTATATATTATGGAGCAGATTCAGTGATTCTGAACCAGAGATCTGTTGGGATGACACCTCATGACCGTGGGACAATTAAATGACAATGTCAAATGTGGGATAACAGCAGATTTTGTGTGGGATGGAGGATAATGTGTTAAAAGGGGAATGCACTTTGTAGTGAGGGACAGTTAGGAGGTATACGTGCAGGGACATTATTCTCATATGCTTCAGTCCTGTATAATTCATACCTCATCCCAGAAAGAGTACAGATACCTATCAAATCTGAAAGCAAATATTCCAGCTATACTCACTAAGACTGTTACAAACTGAGATGCTTAATCGTTTTAGATCTTGAAAATTTAATTAATAGGCATTGAGTTTAATTGCTTTTGGTGCCTCAGCTTCATTTTCTTTGTGTATAATTACCTGCTGAACGTGTACAATACTTTTTATAGCTTTTTAAAATATTTCTATTTATATTACTATTGTGATGACAGAAAGATCAGCAGTGACACTTGCTGGGTAGGAATTAGATATCTGATTTTTGGTAGGTTTCCCAGACTTATTGGGCAGATAGAAAGAGAGAAGGTGTTGGGGTTCACTAAAATTATCGCCTTCCTTAATAAGGATAAGAGGCAAAGACACATTCCTAATAGCTTTCATCCTCTCCCTGTAATCCTTATGGCAAATTAACATTTCACTAGCTGTCCAATCCTGTACTTACACAGGCAAAACTCTTGTTGAAGTTAATCGGAGGTTTGCCTGGATGGGAAGTAGGCCACCAGAAGTTAGAGTATGGGATGTGTCTCTATAGTCAGGGAAAATGAATTCTTATATTAGTGTAAATCAAGTGTGAGCATGGAAAGAAAGCAGAGATCCTATTTCTTTATTTTCCATTGCATTTTTTCAAAATAACAAATTTCACAACTGATGGCAAATGCACTTTATTCTGGAATGTAAAAATGTCCAAAATAAAATGCATCTTTCTTCTTATTGTTTATTCCTTCTTGCTTCTTCTGATGAGTGTTGCTGAACCAACAGTCATAGTCTGTAAAAGACACAAATATGTTACTTGTTTTCCATTTATACTGTAGGGGGACCTGTATGTAGCTAACAGCTTTGAAGTTGCTGTAGTATATTTGTAATTCCATCTCATATCATCTGAAAATACAGTTACAACAACTGCATATGGACATGCTGATTACATTCATACTGAAACAATGGTGTTCTTCTTAGGGAACCAGTTCTGAACACTGAAAATCTAAATAGTCAAATGTTATCTTCAAGTGTATTGTTGGAGTAACCTCAGTCACAAGTATGTTCCCTATACTAGAAACCCACTGCCCCAGATAAGTACTTTTGATCTGGTTCTTTGCAGATTTATTGTAAAGAAAGTAGGCTGGGATTTTCAAAGCCATCTAAGGAAACTGAGCATTTAAAATCCCTAGGCAGTTCTGAAAACCTTAGCTGTAATTCTTATAACAATGATCACACCAACTGGAATACATATTAAAAGCCTGGCAAGTGGAAGTTCAACTCCCTGGGAGAAGGGTTCTGTGCCAGTAGGAAACCGTTCAGGACACATTATAAGTTCCTAGGATTTGTAAATAAAACAGGTGAAAATGTAAATTAGCATGGCTTGATTCAGTTTTCGTTCTCTGCTCAAGAGCATCCCAGCTGTACAACCCTGTGAAAAATCTTGCAAAGAGCCTGCCCACATGATGGTCAAAAGCTAACAACGCTAAACCTGAGTGCCTAAAATGGAATGATAACGGAAATGAATTTGGCTCAATGTATCCTGGGAAGTGATGAATAGCAACTTTCAGTGATAGAAATGTATAGAGTGAAACTATAACAGACAGCCACAGGCATTGTCCATGTGTAGAGGAGATTCAATTAAGTCAATAAGTAACAATGCATCACCCTGGCTGTACTAAATGGTAACTAATGTTGTTTCTTGCTGCTTGCAATCACCCTTGGATTATAAAGTTACATATTCTTTCATTAATAAAGTGATATAATCCATGCTCACAGTAGTAATTCCTGTGCTCAACACTGGGACTTTTTAAAGTGATGGTATCATTTTATAAACTGACAGGCATAGAAAATGTTTCCCCATTATTTTTCCTATTGCACCTTTATTTACCAATCACTTACCTCCACCATTTCATTTCCTTTAATTTCCTGTTCATGGGAGAATGTTTCTGTTTTGCACACAAGCTTCCCACCTATCATGTTAACCGTGCACTGTGAACACAGATTTTTAAAACGTAAGTATTTATAGTAGCCCAGCAAGTACATTTCTGGTAGGCAATTTAGGCCAAAAGGTAGAAACTGGGAAATTCAGTTAGAATGGTAGTTAGTTACAAAGATAAGAAAGAATGGAATTGCAGATACTGATATTTCATTAATCTCATGCTAACTTCAGATTGACAGGAGTAATGAGCATCTTGTTTAGCATTCAATGAAAACTTCTCTTAACTGTTGAAACAATACCAATGCATGTATAAATGCTACTTCTTGGTGTGCAGATAATTTTCAGGAAATACAGATATATTAGAAAGACTTTACAGTTATTGGTATTGTGTGTAAAGCTAACTGGCAGTTGAAATATGCAAAATGGGAGTAAAATTTGTCCTACGTAATGTAAGACTATACAATGGGTTTTGCCACATTGGATCAAACTGTTGGTCCATCTAGGATGTTATCCTTCTTCTGGCAGTGGTGGCTGGGGATCTCAAACTTTTTTGTTTTTTAATAGTGTGGACCACATCTTAACAAAAAGATTTTCTCATAAACTACCTTAATTTAAACATATGACCCAACTCCCCTGCCACAACTGGTAGCTATAGCAATACCCTACATGAAAAAATTGTAGTAAGAACACATTTAATGTGTTTTATCTTTTTAATGTGCTTTATCAGCTAGAAACTACATGGAGAGCTAGAACCATGGGAACAGTCAGCTCTACTCAGACCACCAGGGGTGCTCCACACACCACTATTTGGGAATCACTGTTTCAGGAGAAAGTGGAAAACTCCATAATACATTTGTAGCCAATTATTCATGTACATGGGGAATAAAATTCCTCCCTGACCCCTGGGTTGATCAACTTATGCACTGAAGCAGCAGATTTGACTACTTTAAGAAATGTTACCTTTTACCTGAGCATTTTAATGAGCTGTTGTGTGACAAGAGCTGAATTAGTACAAAGCATTCAGTTTTTCCTAGAGGTTAATGGGGGTTTCTTCAAACTGTGCTTTGCAGCAACCATTTTTCCAACTGAAAGGGTCTGGAAGCAGCTCCTTCTGAAGCTAGAGGAGTTTGCTCTAGAGTGGTGTAAGGTGATTGCTCCTCCACAGTTGCTTAATGTGTTGCCACCACAACTTTCTTGGGACCTGCTAACATGGCAGTTTGTGACACAAACTTAGATTCCCTGTGTCGCTAACCACAAAGCCAGCTAGACAAACAGTCTTTCTGGCTCCTTCACTTACCATGTAACCTGCATGCTCTCCTTAGAGCTTTTAAGTTTTACTTAATTTCTTACTCATCAGAAGCAATTGAAGTTTCCTAATGGGAATAGTACAAAGAAATTCCATTTGCAAAATGATACTGAAGTACTAGTAAAAAGAAAAGGAGTACTTGTGGCACCTTAGAGACTAACCAATTTATTTGAGCATAAGCTTTTTGCGAATACAGACTAACACGGCTGCTACTCTGAAACCTGAAGTACTAGTGAGGGAGCAGTTATTGTTCTTGAAATATATTACCTTTAGTTTTTTGCCATCCATAGTAGTGATATCAGCCTCTTTCCCCAGAGTAAATGAATTTGTTACAGACTGCTTAGGTGTTTTTGATGTCACAACAAAGTTGTTTCCATTTTGTTGTATTTCAATAACAGGCTTAATGTCTTTGGCAACTTTGATGAGGTCATCTGCCAATGCTGCAGAAAGAGGAAAAATGGAATTTTAACTTCTCTGTTATGCAGAGGGAAGTATGGGGTTTGTTTGTTATGCAAATAAAATACTTTGATTCAATGAAGTGACAAGGTTGACACAAATCAACAACAGAAAAGGATGTCAAAGTTAGATTACCCTTTTCTCTATGGACATACAATTTCATCAGTGGGATACTTGGTTTTAGATTCATTTTCTTTTCTTATAACCTTGGAGTTTCACTGCCAGTTCTTTATGAGGTACGCTGTTTTTCTTAAGATTTTGAGGATCTTCCCTATATTTAGTCATATTTACAAGCACTTTGTCGTGTTTTTGCCCTAAGATTACATTAGTACAATAAATTAATTTCTCTTTTTAAATTTTGTGTGCATACTTAACACTGGTGAAAGGCTGACCACCTTTTCTATGTTCTTTTCCATTCTATATAATTTTTTTCTTATATCACTGTAATGTCTGAGCACCTTTAGTACTGCACTAAATGACATCAGTAGCATTGCATAAGGTTCATTTTCTCTCTCATCCTCCCCCAGGACAGACTGAAGTCCTTTGCATAGCCACAGGGCAAAACAGTGCAAGTATCCCCAGCTTTCTCATCAATAAGCTTCAAAGCTGACCTGAAAGGATCGCCTTTGGGGCTGAGGGTGTAGTTCAGGCAACATGCTCTTTGAGAAGGGATTTTCACTGAGCAAGGCATTCCGCTCTGTTTAATTTGATTGTTTTGCTGCAACTAACAATGCAAACTATGGTGGTGTTTTTTAGTAACCTAGACACCTCTGACAACTAGCTAGAGACCATCAAACTCATTTCACATAGGCTAACAAACAGCCATAAGGTAATCAATGATTACTGTCAGAGGCTCTATGTGAACTGGTAACAGAGCTGAGAGGCTCTATATCCCATTACCAATTCCCTCCTAGTTAACCTTATAAACTGAAACAGGTCAACTGATATGCTTCTACTGAAATACCTTTCCTTTCATAAGAAGACCAGTCTTGTGGTTAAGGCTGAGTAGATCTGGGTTTTATCCCTGGCTTTTCCACAGATTTCTGTGTGACTTGTGGGCAAGTGTCTTCACTTCACTTTATATCTAAAATGGGGCTAGTAACACTTACCTAACTCATGGAAGTAGGGTGGCCAGATGTCCCAATATAGGGACAGTCCTGATTTTTAGGTCATTTTCTTATATAGGCTTCTATTTCCCCCCACCCCCGTCCCGATTTTTCACACTTGCTGTCTGATCACCCTACATGGAAGGTGGTTTGTGAAAAACACTTTAGATATTCCCTGATGGAAGGTTCCTTAAATGCAAAATGTTGTTATATTTCACAAATCCAGCAAGTTACAGAAAAAAAAATAACAAGACACTTACCAAGAGCTTTCAGAAACTCTTCATAGTTCTCTTGAGCATAGACCCGCCAGGTTCCATTGAATGCCATTATGGATGGTGCAGTACAGTATGGCAGTGATGCCAGAAAGAGAATGGAGCAGCCGTCTACTGAATTAAATGCTATTTATACAGAAAGAAAATGTGGCCTCTCATATGACATAATCTGCTAATTATTAACAATATAGTATCAATTATTAATCATCTGTTTATTCTTAATAGAAATAACCTCTAGTTCATTGTGGTCTGTGGCTGTCTCTTTACCCTGACTGTCTCTTTCCTAGCAAGTTTATTGCTTCCAGAATAGATTAAACTAAAGTACAAAATGCAGAATAAGAGTAGCCACATGGGGAGCTAATGTGGAATAGCTATTCCAGGCTATTTCCCTGTTTTAGGCAAGCCCTTGTCTTATTGAAAGCCTATGGTACTTAGGCTCCTAAAGCATAAGGGTTTGTGTACTCATAACATTTGTATCACTTTAAATATAATGGTATAGTTAAAGCAATACAACCTCTCCAGTGTGGATGCACCAATATAAATTTGCTTATACTGGTATAGCTTATTCCGTAAAGGAAGGGGAAAAAGCTATATTGATGTAAGGCACCTTTGTACAGATATAACTGTGTCCACACTAGGGATTATACTGGTATAACTATATAAATAAAAAGAATCTGACACAGTTATACTGGTACATAAACTGTGTAGACCAGGCCTAAGTCATTAGTTAAAATGATACTTAGGCTCATAAGTCACTGAAGCACTTTTGAAAATTTTACCCATATTCTAAATAAATAAATACAAGTGTTCAGTTATATAAAACTTTAGAGAAGTAGTCACTGGATGTGAAATTATATTTCTTATATATTGTAATAAATCCATGGCATGTGAAGAACTTCATGACTCACTATGCTGCATGTGGGTACTTGGAACTTCACAGAGACAGTGAAGATAGAACACAGATCAGTCTTTTCCAAAAGAACTGGCCCCTATGACGTGAGGAAAAAAAGAATCTCCCTTAGCCATTATCAGTACAGGGCCTATGACCCACAGCTGATCAGTTGTGATTCCATCTAGTAGACATCAGTGGGGCACATATGCACTAATCAGTTTCTTACAATATTTAAATGTATTTAATGATGGTCCCAGACATACAGATTTAAGGGGGAAACGAAACATGGAACTGTTGCCTGGGGACTGAAGTGGAAAATAAATGGAAGTACTTAATTCTTGATTGTTACTCTCCACATTCATAACCTCAGAATTCCTCACTCACAGTGTAATACTCATCCCTCCCTGATCAAGCCTGCCTACTGGCTTTGGAAGGCATTCGGTAAAACTGTATGTGGTTTGCAATAAAGTTGCTTAATTCAAATAGTGTTTGTGCCCTAGAGGTGACTGACCTGTCTAAATCAACATTTCTAGTACTGTATTAAGACGAGGCAGTAGTTTTTAGTTGAGTGGGAAAATAATGATGAATTTTTCTTATGAATTTACTTTACACTGTTGTCCAGTTGTAATTTTTAGAGACAAGCCCAAATTGGGATCAGAGATCCAAATACACCCCAAACTTTGGGACAGTTCAGGTCTATCTCTAACTCATCACAGTTTTAATCAGTAAGTATGTCACAGGATTAAGAGTTAGGAGATCTGAGTTCCAGTGCTGGCTACTAACCCTCCACTTGATTTTAAGAGCACACTGCCCTAAACTATATTGTCTTTAATCATTTGAATGTTTTAAAATTAATTTTAGAGATCCAATTTCTGATTTTAAAAGATTAATATATGTTTGTTAATAAGGAATTTTAAAACATATTTGTAAAGGAATTTGCTTTAGCTGAGCAAACCATTGATCCAACAGTGTGTTATCCTGTCCCCAGCTATAGCCAATACTTGATGCTTCACAGGAAGGGGGAATATACAAACTGCACCTTGCCAACAATGCAATGCTGCTCATCGGGCAGCTCATCTGTTTGCAACTGGAAGTTTCAATTTCTGGGAGGAGTTCATGCACAAACACCAGGCTCTGACTTTGGAAAAGTTCACTGACTCATGGATTTTGTTAAACTTTTCATAGTGACCTGTCCTCATTGTCCTCCAATGGCCAGACCTTGCGAAGCTAAACATTAAACTAAAGTGCACAACAGTGGTAAGCATCTGTTGCACTCAAAATCAGGCTTTATAAAGGGATTTCTCTGTGTGTGTGTGTGTGTGTACACGTATTAGGGACAGAATTCACATATACATCAATCATAGCAAGGCTATGGGGTTACAGTGCAGCATCTCTGCAGCTGCTACTCTTGCTAGAGACTGGAACAGAGGCTGCTGCCATTCTGTACCTCCTCCATGTAGGCTTTTATTTTGCAGACAGGGACTGCTATTTTAAAGCCATATAAAATAATGTAACCAAAACTAATAAACATCAGAAACTAAGAGATTAATTTAAAATTACTCCTGCGAGCCCAATCCTGCAATCAGATCTGTGCGGGTGCAAAGGTCCGCCTGTGCAAATCTCGTTGCAAAATCAAAGCCTGATAACAGGCCGGCTTAAATCAACTATTTACTAGAATAACTACTATTAACTAGAATAACTGGGTAAAACTGAACACTGATAGTTATAGAATGTAATCAAGGACGATGGATTATTAAATTGATAACATTCATCAGCAACATTCAGTTTGTATGTCTTTATTGTAAGAAGTATGAATTTAGAAAGTCCTTTTTCATTAGATGTACTTATTTTTCATCTTCTTTGTGTCTTAGAGATACAAAGGGATACTAGTCCAGATGCTCTTAATAATCTGAATATGTAACTGCAGTTTGTGAGCCAGTGGATTCCATGTAATCTGAACAAGAACAGATATTTAGGACTGTATTTTGTGCACCTGATTTTTTTCAGCACCTGCTCTATGTAATAATAATAATAATAATAATTAATAATAAAAGGAAGCACAAATAAAAGCCCTTCCACCACAGCTTCTTCCTGTCTCTGCTGACCTTAGCTGAAATTAGACCCTGAACCCACACCAACTCCAGCCCAAATTCTGAATGTCAAGAACCATGCGTAATCCTCCAAATACTATGTCATGTTATCATTATTAATCATGTTTGTTACAGAAGTGCCTATGGACCAACCAAGATCACAGGCCCATTGTACCTGGCACTGCAAAAACACCTTTGTAGAAGATGTGTTCTGTTTAAACTAATGTAATTAGTCATATAGGGAAGTTACCTCCAATTCAGAAAAGTTTGTATTTCTTGCTCTCTCCCTTGCACACACAAATCTGTTTCTACACAATCTTTTCCATGGACACTTTTAGGTATGACTCCTGTATTGTTGTCAAGTTTTACATTTTTTATTTACACACCTTTTAAACACTGCATAGAATACAGGATCAACTACAGTATGACAGGCAAACACTGTTCTTGATCAATAGTAACAGATAAAATAGTGGCATGGAAACCCTCTTCTGAAAGTGTGGGTAGTTTAGAACCAGTAGCTGTCAAACATTTTAAAAATGAACTTTTCTATTTGTACCTTGATCTTTATTTAAAACAGCATTATATGTCATGTTACAAGGGTTATTTCATTCCTCTGGATTTCTATTGTCATCCTCTACAAAAATCATCTGTGTTCTCAGATAAAAGCCAGCTGTGCTACTGATTCTTTGGAGTGTTACGTCAAAAAGCCCATCATGCTTGTGACACAGCATTTTTCAGTTAATTTTTATGGGAGCTGAATTCTAAAAACTGAAGAAGGAAGTGAGTTCTGTACAATTGAGGATTCCTCTTCTGCACAGAAACTAAGCTTTAGTTTGGGGACTGGTGTGTCTGAGAATGTTCAGAATAATTTAGCAGTTGCCTAGACATGTCACTTCATGTGATTTGAGAGGTAATTTGTTATTACACATCCTCTAATCTCATTCATATGAAGAGGCAATTACACCATGTGGGATAGGGAGCTTTATTGTATCTCATAAATATCTAGGAATATGCTAAATAATAAAGGAATATGCTAAAACACATGAGCTAATATTGTTATGTAATCCACTGTCATTTATCTAGGTGAAAAGGGAAAAAAAAATTTCCCATGATTTTTTTTCAACCTTCAGCCTTTTGAATAAAGAACCAAATTCAGCCTCATCACTCACACCTGGGCTTTAAAATACTGGGCTGGAATAAAAAAAACTTCCCTACCTTTCTGGTGCAGGAAAGTGTAAATTGTACTCTGTGCCAGCTAGCTCATACAGCATGTTCACTTCAAAGGAAGGAGTTGGGGTAGCTTTATGTTAAGGCTGGGATGAGTTCCCCTCTGTGTGACTGCCCGTGGAAACTGTTGAGCGATTGCACTGAATAGCCCATTTCTCTGTTGTCCTGACCATGCCCCCTCTCCAAAAAGCGCTGCCCAGTTAAGCACTAGTGAAGAGGAAATAGCGATGAGTTTCCACACCATAAGCTCTCCTCTGGAAATATTCCTGCCACTGGAACTCTGTCTCTGGGTTTATACTACTCTAATCTGGGCTGAATCTGGCCCAGTCACTGATCAAAACAGTTGTCATCACTTAAACGTGTTCAGATATAGCATCATTTGACAGTTTACAATACGTTAGAGTGAAATAACAGCTGTGTACTTTAAATGTGTTTAAATTCGCACTATGTCGTAGTACACACAGTAATCGCACACATGCTCCTCTGCAAAGCCACAGAGGCTCAAAACCACTGCCTTACTTTCCTCCCAAATGGCTTAGACTTGTAAACATGAGTGCATCAAGACCCTGTTTCAGCGAGGTATTTAGGAACATGCCTAACTTTCAGCACACCAGTGGTCCCGCTGACATCTAGTTATGCATGTGCTTGAGTACTGTGCTGAATTGGGCCCAAGCAGGATTACGTTTTAACAACAATGCACACATCAACATTTTCCTGCTATAGGATAGTCAATAACACACAAGGGCTTAATACAAAACGATAAGTTCTTGTATACATGAACCTCCACAGTGTCCGATACATAGTGCTGTTAGCTGAAAAGTGGTACACTTTATGAAGCAGTTGTCTAATTCTGTCGGGTTAGAGTGGGATTTTGAAGGTTTTCTCCAGTTTTCTATAGATGCTTTTAAGAGGGGTACATTGTGATTTCTTATACTGTAAATCACTGTGAAAACCTTTATTTTATACATAGATAATAAAAAGAGAGAGAGTCTGAATTTTAAGGCCAGGATTTTCAAAGGAAACCAAGTGTCTAAATCCCCTTGACATTCAATGGGAGTTTGGTGCCTAATGCCTTTAGGCCTCTTTGGAAATCCCAACCTGCGTTTCTGAGTGTGTTGGAAATCATTTTTCCCGTAGCTCGATCGGTTCTTCTCCATGCTTGTACACACTGATAGTAACCTGCCCTGTTTCAGAGCCATATTTGTTCTTGACATAGATGCTGTATTTTCCTGTGTCGTCACTGCAGACTTTCTCAATGGTAACTGTGACAACTATCCCCTTCACGTCCATTTTGTAACGATCTTTAAAAACTACTACCTTCTCGTTCTTGAACCAAGTAATTTCTGGGTAAGGGTCACCAGATATGCAGCATGTCAAACACAGGGTCTGTTTTAAAAATATAGTAAATACAGCGTTACAGTGACAATTCACAGCCAGTGGCTTAAAGTATAATTGGGCAAAGAAAAAGATAAAAATGGATCTCCAAAAACCACAAGTTTCACTGATCCAAGAACTCATAAGTTCTTATCAGCTCAGACACTCTGGCCTCAGGCAAGCTACTTATCCACTTTTCTGTCTCAGTTTCCTCATGAGTAAAATGGGGATCATACTGCTTATTCATCTACCCCAGAGAGGGACTTGAGAGGATTAACTGATTAACATTTGTTAAAGTTCTTTGAAGATGGAAAGCACCATATAAATGCTATGGATTATTATTGTTCGCAGTATTGTTTTAGCTGTGTTGATCCCAAGAGATGAGATTCTCTCTCATGTATTATCATACTTATTAATTATTTGTATTACCTAGGAGACCTAGTCATTGACCAGAACCCCATTGTGGTACAAATACAGAACAAAAAGATGGTCCCTGCCCCCAAACAGCTTTAGGTATAAGACAAGAGACAACAGCTGGATACAGATGGGAAGTAAAGAGGAAACCATGAGATGATATGGTCAGCATGAGACGCAGTGGTCTGAGAATACAAGTCTATGGGCCTGATTCTGATCCCAGCAATTTTTGTACCTAAAACAGATATTGTACTTCTCCTATTTAGTGCCTAGGACAGCATGATCTTACAATACCATTTTGCTTGCCAGGAAATGGAAGACTACATTTTTTAAGTGCACAAATATTTAGCCATATAGAAAATTGAATCCATGCAGCTGAAATCATTGCTACTCTGTTTGGGGCCATTAGCAATAGAAGTATGTTTAACTGCTTTCAAAATGTTAAGGATCATTAATGTGACCATAAAATTCAAGGCTGTTTTAGTTTCTAGGCTATGAAGGAGTTATTAATTATGATACAAGACAGGAGCCCCTCAATAGTAGGATCTAGTTGAGTTGAGAAGTATATCAGAGGTGGCAGAACTAGGTTCTTGAGGGGGTGAGCAAGATTTATATTATTAGTGAACAAATCTACCAAAGCAAAACCTAAATACTTCATATGAGCTTGTTAAAATTACAAATTATCATGGCTACTCAGGCTGTTAAACTGGGCAGGTTTATCTTTTTTTGGATAGGTGTAGGGGTCTTACACACCAGAATAATGTGAATGGAGAGAATGGCTGCTCTACATTTTTATTTATTTAGTGCATGCCCATGGTGTGTCTGACATGGTACAAACACACCAACTGCAACCTGTCTACAGCTCCTGCAGGGGTGTAGGTTTCCCTGCAGGGAGGCATCTTTGTTTAGAAGTCACAGCATCACAATGAGATAGAATTACCTTCTCCAGCCTGCAGCTTTAAACAAAGGGCAGTTATGGTTAAAATTTAATTACTCTTCCTTGCATGTTCCGTGGGCACAGCTGTGGTTACATGAAGTGCAGGTTGCTTATATTAATCGCTTTCAAAACCTGGATTATACGTGTCTAAACAGAAGTTAGGCATTTTAAGTGACCTCAGAAGCCGCTAGGATTTTTGATGGGACTGGCCAGTCAGTGAGATTTAGACATGGGATTCTTTCTTCTGCCACTTTCCCCAGGTAAATCAGGAATACTTCCATTGAAGTCAATGGGCCTGATTCTCATTTGTGCTAAGGCCCCTTTACACCACTCTGGCAGTGTAAAGGGACCTTAAAGAGGGCATAAATTACATTTACAGTCATTTTAAAGCCTCTTTACTCAGCCACAGTGCTCTTAGAGTAAAGGAGAATCCAGCCCAATAGATTATAAGACTAGTGTGACAGAAGAATCAGGACCCATATTTAAAGTTGTTAGCCTAAAGCAGGGATTGGGAAGGGAGACTAGGGGCATGTGAAACACCTACCATATACTATTGTCAGCACCTGAAAACTAGGGTCTAATGTCTAAGGAGGGCAGTTGAGTAAGGAGAGAGATGTTCATGTAACTTTTCCTATGGTTAGCATTAAAACTATCCTTGCACTTCACAAGTTCAGAAAAATGGAACCTTGAAGCCTAGCTAGATTTGTGGATTTCAAAGGGAACCCCCGCCCTACCCCCCAAAATTTTCTCCTATAGAGAAGGTGTGTGTGTCTGGAAGGACCACCCACCATCATATTGCTCAGTGTTGTTAGCAATGGGTATCACACCAGGCCTCTGACAACTGCAATAGCTCAGGAAAGCACAGGGACTGCAGCGGTGGCCATCCACTATATGGGGACACAAGGTAGGGGAAAGCTCCTTGTGTTCCTCCTGCCAGCCATCTGTGCAACCTGGCCATGATAGATATACAGTTACTCAGTAGTACCTTATCCTCCATGATGGTGGCAACATCTGGCAGACCTTGAACAACTCTGGCACGATCTGGGAAGGAACAAATGTGACTGTTCAACTTTACATACCAGTATGGCCCTTTGATCTGTATGACAGAACCAAGGAGAATGTGCAACGTTCCTTTACTTACTCTTTTCTGCTATCAGCGCTTCCCTGAAAGTAAGAAAAAGATAATTGAAGATAAATGTAGTATTTTTTATTTATTAAATATGTACTCTGAATGTTTTTAATAGGAACCTGTTCCCTAATTTCTATAGAGAACTTCACTTCCAAAGTGAAAGCAAAGATGTGCAGTAAGGTGAGATATTAGAACAGGGAAAATGTCTGAAATTTTCAGGGATTCTCTAGGTTTCATCTGGGGTGGGGGGGATGAGGAAGGGTTTTTTGGCCTGTTTCTGGAACTAGAGAGACATGTTGAAAACAAATTTTTTAATTTTTGATAATGGATAATGCAGCTCCTCTAATGTTTGCTTAAGGCTTGATCTCACAAGTGCTCCACCCAAGAAGGATCAGAGGTCCTTTCTGATTCGCTGGTCACTATAAGAAAAGGCTGATGTCGGAGTTTCAGCTTCATGTCTAGGAAAACTTCTTCTTCTTTAAAAGTGAATTTAGTTTTGAAAACTGTCCCAGAGTGACAGTCTCGAAAGCGGAAGCCCTCTGTGTATCTACAGAAGAGGTACCGCAGAGGGACCAGGAAATGCAGGCTTCCTCATGGGATCCCATTATCATGCCTCAAACCTGATCTGGAAGGGTCACTCCTACATGCGAGAGGGAACTCCATTTCCAGGCCTCTCAGACTTAGGAGTGGCCATGATCCTGCAGTGACTTTTCTGCTGACCCAACATTTTTTCCCATGGTTCATACTGCCAATCCATGTGGAGCCATCCCTGCTGTAGCTGCTGGCCCCTATGCCTCTCCTGCACCAGTGCCATACTCAGCCCCCACCTTCCAGCCTGGCCTGCCCAGGTGTAGTGTTGCTCCCCATCCCCTCAGAGGGGACAGGGCCTGCTGGAAGCGGATGAGGTTGGGCAGGCCCCTTGAGGGAGCCCTGGTGCAGGAGCTGGCCCCATGGCAATGTTGTGGAGAAGCAGCACTGGGTGACCCACCGCCTACTTAGGTTTGGCCTTGTGGCCCCTCTGTTGTGATGGAGGGGCTGTGGGGGCCAAACCTGAGTGGGCAGTGGACAGCCAGTGCGGCTCCTCCTCGCCATTGTCAATGATATGTACTGTGCGTAGTGGGCGTATGGCTGTGGGCACCACTAGTGTACTGTGCCTTTTGCTACAGGGGCCCCAGTCCATCAGCGTCTAGACTGCATCCACCAACTCACGTCATCAGGTCCACTGCACAGCTGTCAAAGGGTAGTGAGAGTTGGTGGATAGCAAGCAGAGCAGCCTCTAAACTAGAGTTCTAGTGGAAGAAGATACTGTAGTATAACCAACACCCTAAGCCATTCATCCCTCTATGGGATCCATTTCCTAGTTGTTGCAAACAGGCCCTGATTCTGAAATTGGATCCATGCTGGCAGATTCTTGCCCCAAACAGGGCCTTAGTGATATCAATGGGCCTCTGCATGGGCAATGGGGCTCTGTGTGTGTGGATCTGCTTTACAGCAGTGAGGGCAAACAGGGTCCTAAAATGCTATTTTCTATTTTGTTGAACAACATCTCACACATTGACTTACGTTGGTTAAAGTGAAGAAGGATATTATCTAAATGCATATGGACCTTCTCTCCCTTGGCACTAATTCATTTTAATTTGCCTTGTCTTCCAAAGCTATAGCTTGCTTATACCTTGCCCAGACATTCTCCTCCCTGCAAATATGAGGTTTGAATAATTTCCTGCATTTAGCAATTTTCACATTACCAAGGCTCTTTGTAAAAGAGAAATCTGCCAGGACTGGATCTCCGTGGTGGGATGTGCAGCGTGGAGGTTAATCCAAGCTGCAGAGTCTCATTTATTAACAAAAATAAACCAGGCAGTTTAGCTTTAAATGTAAACATTTAGTTCAGCTTCAAATGTGAAAGTATTTGAGAAGAAACTCACTTTAGCCGTAGGTGTTCAGCCATTACTTCTTCGAAAGCTGCAAGGAATAGAAGAGATTTTAAGAAGAAAGTGCAGTTTGTGGTGTGTTATTTAATAGATTTAACCTAACGTGTGTGATAATAGGGACATGTAGAGACACGCATAGAACAGTGTTTATAGCTGTCTCAAGGAAACATGTGATCTATTTATGTGCTGCTAAAAGATCAAGGCCCTGATGCTCCCTTCCCATAGAGAAGCCCCAGGGAAGGGGAAAATAATCTGAACAACTCTGAGAGGTCCCAGTGGCAGAGTGAGAGTCACTTTCTCTCCTCCAAGAGAGGGGCAGGGATGCTTCCTGCAAACCCCAAGGGTCTGTGGGGGAAGCAAATCAATTTTGGGTCATCTCTCAGGACAGCCCTACTCTCTGGAAGCTTCCTCTTCCATGGCAGTAATGATCCCTAAGGGGGGTTGGAGTCTTCCTGCCATTAGCTACTCTGCCCATGCTGCACATGACCCTCCTCTGTGCACTTCCCTCCACTCCCCTTCCTCACAGCATACCATCCCCTTGGCACTTCACAGAGTTCCCCCTCTTCTGTGCGCCCCATCTCAGCATGAGGGAGATAAGCCTGAAGGCCCAAGTGAGGGGGAAATCTCAGAAAGTAACAGGTGTTTAGCTCTTCCCTCAGACAGAAATTTTCTGCTCCAGTTCACCTTTCCCAGACAAGTCAGTTGACAGTCTGTGAGAATCTTTCCCGTCGAATATTTCCAGGGTATATTTTCCCTTATCCGAATCCGTGGGGTTCAGTATGTGTAGCCAGATCTGGTCCATTGTACTTCCGCTTTTCAGCCTCTCACCACTTTCTAGTCGCTTCTCCCTAAGGAAACAAATTATATCATTTTAACAACATTGAAGTAAAATTGCACAAGTTTTGAGATTAAACTGACTTTTTAGGATCTATTGCTTAGAACAAGAGACTGGGAGCTAGGACTCTGGGGTTCTATTCCTGATGGCCATAGACTCACTGTGGGCAAGTCTCTTAGGGCTGGATTTTGAAAGGTATTTGGGCACCTAAACATGCAGAAAGGCACCTAGTGGGATTTTCAAAAGCCCAAACCTCAATACCGTTGAAAATTTGGCCCTTTCACATCTAAATTTTGCCTATCTGGAAAATGGGTCTATTCTGCAAGGGTGTTGTGAGGCCAAATTAACTAATGTTGGGAAAGAACTTTGATATGCTCAAATAAAAGGGTGTATAAATGCGAAGCAGGAGTAGCATTTAGTTATTCAGAGTGGGATGAGGCGGTCATTCAGAGAAGTATAAAGCTGCACAGACAAAGTACTTTAAAAAAATACATCCTCCCATGTCTGTAGCTAACCTGTCATTTGATAGTATCATTATCACACCAGTGAAATCCTCACCCAGGAGTACTTGTGCAGCAGAAAATAAATAGAACATGATTGGTAACTGACGAGTTCCCACACACGATTCAATGTAAAGAGACAGTTGAATTTAAAACCCCTTATCCCCCCAATCCTGCAATCCTCATTCCGACGAATCCCCCACTGTCTTCAAGGAGTGCAGGTTCGCGCACAATGACCCCGATCCTCAAAGGTATTTAGGCCCCTAACTCCCATTGATTTGAGTGGATGTTAGGAGCCTACAATACTTTGAGGATCTCAGCCAATGTGCTTTAATTTCCATGACAGATAATACAGACTGTCCATATGTTATGAGCCTTGCTAGCATATCTGAAGTACATACTTGTGATACCAGGTTGTTTTCATGTAGTCCATGTAGTACTTCACTTCACTGTAGATTCGAATGCCTTCTGCAGTTGGCTGGACTTTCAGAGGTTTAGCAGAAAGGGCTAAGAAGAGAATTCAAAGACTGGAATTTCACTGGGTGACCAGCCAGTCTATATACTGGCAATTTTTTTTTTTTAAAAAGAACCTAATGTTTCACCCTGTTTGGAGAACACGGGCAGCTGAAAGCGACATGGCGTTCCAGCATATGAAGGCGCTACGGCTTCCACCCAGCAGAAATGTGCATACTTCCTCCGGAGGCTTGGATCCTAAGTAGAGGAGGTCCCATAGACACATTAGGGCCTTCTCTCAACCTCACCTTTTATTGTTCTAATACTGGGGCAGCCACCAAAGATGTGGGTAGAGTAACATTTTTACCACCACATCATCTAGGCCTGCTCTGTGCAGGGTTTAATGATGCTTTCTGAACGGGATTTGCTCGGGTCTATACTGCACCAGGCCAGCTGAACCCATTGTCAGCAATGGGCACATTCCCTACTATAGACAAGGCCAGAGAGACTTAGGTCTCAGCTCACTTTGATGTTAGAATGTGACAACTGCAGGTGTCTGGGCAGAAATAACAGATCATAGCAAGAGTTAAAGAGATAACATTTCCTGCCCTTCTGGGAGGATCAGGTGAAAAACAGGAGTAGAATATATTTAACTCCTCTCTCACCTGCTGCAGCAGCCCTGCCTTCAGCTCACTGCTCTTCCCCTTCCTCTCATTTCCAGCTGTTTACTGACTGTTCTCCCCACACTTCAATTCCCCAAATCCCCCCAAACCCACAGCAGAGTCTAAATGCCTCCTGTTCCCCATTCACTTTACTTCCCCATTTGCTGCCTTTACAACACAGAGGAGTTTTACTTCAGAGGGAAAGGAGTGGCCTCTTGATCGAACAAAGGACAACTCCTAAGTCCCAATCCCAGCCCTGAGACCAGCTCTTTCTCCCACCATGGGCAAATCACTTTGCCTCCCTCTGCCTCAGTTTCCCCATCTGTACAGTAGGGATAATAGTTACATACCTCTGCTAAGTATTATTTTTACAGTTTGAAGCAGATGAGAAACAGACTTACCACTAACCCTGCAGAGCTCTTTGAGAATGTCTTCAAACCCTGCACACACAGAAAGAAGCTTCAATCAGCCATAAATACGTTCACTAGCAATGTGCATCTGATTCACCAACAGCCTCTTCAGATCATAAAACCTACTGTATATGGTATTTATTTTGTTGTGTTTTCCTATTGGTAAACTTCACTGGCTATAAAGTTTTTGCCATTGACTCATTTATTTCTACATGTTGGACATATCTTACTTTATTCAGATGTTGTCAGCTTCCTTAACATTCAGCATACACAGTGATGTATCTAGCATGGGATACAAATTTACCTATCAGGATTAAATGATAGATGCCAGATGACATGGCAGAGTTTAAAGCCTGGGGAAAAGAGTCTCCTGATTCCTGCTGAGTTTAAATGCTCGGAATACCTTTGAGTTTCACTCCTTCTGTTCCCTGCTGCTCGAGAGGTTTTATAGCACGGTCACGATTTGAAAAATGACTGTGTGGAATGACATTGGGAGGATTGTCAATATTTACTGTTAGGATATAGATATTCAGGCCTGTCTGTAAAGGCCTATACTCTAAGAATTTAGGTGTATTCTTATCACTTGGCTAATTATAGAGGTATAAAAGAAAGAATCAAAATCACTATCTGCTGGTGTAAGGGCCTTCTCTTACTGTGACAGTCTGAGGCCCTGTTCTTAGGCTAAGGCCTTTGGCTAAGCAGCAGAGGCAGCCATAAGCTGGGAAGCGAACAGTCACATCCTCACATTCCAAACTAGTCACACTGAAATAAGGTGCTATTGGGCTGTTAGGCATTATCAGGACAGGATTGTATTCCTATCACCTCCAGAGAAAGGGAAGTGCCTAGAAAATGTAAAAGGAAACTTAGTTTGATAGCATCCTGTCTGGCAAGAACTCACTTATCAATAGCTGGGATGTGAAATCCTCACTTCTGTATTGTCTTGTCATTATAGTTCCCACTTTGCTATTGTTTGTCTGTATAATCTCTGTCTGGTTCTGTGGTTGTTCCTGTCTGCTGTATAATTAATTTTGCTGGGTGTAAACTAATTAAGGTGGTGGGATATAATTGGTTACATAATCATGTTACAATATGTTAGGATTGGTTAGTTAAATTTCAGGAAAATGATTGGTTAAGGTATAGCTAAGCAGAACTCAAGTTTTACTATATAATCTGTAGTCAATGAGGAAGTGGGTGGGTGTGGGTGGGAGGGGGTGGGTGTGTGGGAGATGGGAACAGGGAATGTTTTGCTAAAGGGGGAAATGGGAACAGGGAATGGGAGTAAGGAAGTTGGAATCACGTTTGGCTAAGGGTAGGAATGGGAACAGGGACACAGGTGTAAGGCTCTGTGGTGTCAGAGCTGGGAAGGAGGATACTAAGGAAGGAAACTGGAATCATGCTTGCTGGAAGTTCACCCCAATAAACATCGAATTGTTTGCACCTTTGGACTTCGGGTATTGTTGCTCTCTGTTCATGCGAGAAGGACCAGGGAAGTAAGTGGGTGAAGGAATAAGCCCCCTAACATCTACTCTCTAACTTCTAGAAGAATTCACAGCACTGCTAATTAAAGCAGGGGGTTGAAAGTAAAAGTGTCCTTTTGCATTTGACATCACTGGTACTAAAGATTCTGCAATCAGAAACTCAGTTTTGTTGAGGCTGCACAGTGGAAAACAGTACCCATTTTGCTTTTCCCTCACTTTTGAGGATCTGCAGAACTAGCAGGAGTTTAAACTTGCATATGACAGAGACACATGCAAGGAATAGCCAGGGGATTTGATCCATTGACTTCAGTGGGCTTTGGATCAGGACCATAGTAAGTAAAAAGGGGCTATTTGTACCTGGTACATTTTCTGATCCTAATCCCACATTTAAATACTTCTTATGCTTGAAATTTACAACATACATATATAAAGGAATGCATAGCCTCCTGTACCAGAGAAGAGAAAAGAGTAGAAAACTCTCGAAGTCCACTAGAGAGCTCATAATGTAGACCTGATTACATTTGGAAGCATTTATATATTAAAATAATGAGTACTATAGAAAACACTTAAAACAGGTGGAAAGTTTAATTTTAAAGCTGTGTTGAAAGCCTGATCACTCACACACACACACATATATAAAAAAGTATAACATATTGCCTATTAGTATGAAATCATCCTACCTTCCTTACTGAGATCAAGTTCAGTAATGTCTTCTCCTCGGTCATCAGAAACAACCGCTTTGTATATTCCTTTATCCTCTCTGGTAAGCTGGCAAAATATTTCAAAATGGAAATTTCCCAGATCACTAAAGTATGGGACAGTTTTGGGCGGGTGAGATCAGAGCTCTGTTTGTAATGTACTGGTGAATTTCCCCCGGTCATCTGGGTGAATTTGGTGAGTTAACAACAGTATTGACTAGAATGAAAGCAGCCCCTTGCAAGCTTCCCCCATGCAGCCGTATTGATACACATCAGTCTCCACCTGCAGGATTGATGTATATTGATGGTCCTGGATCTCATCTAAGCAGAGATTGCCACTCACGCTTATGTATATACTGGATTTTTGATACGGAAATGGTTTATTTGAAATTAAGTTGAAAAACTGAGACCAAGCAGGATAACTCTGCACAGACAAAACTCTAGTTCATTAACTCTACCACAGAGCCCCCTTCATTCACCTGTTGATGCTCTGTGGGTCAAGGATTCATTGATTTTTAAGGGCAAAAGGGACCATTACATCAGTTAGAGTGAGCTCCTGCAGATCACAGGCCATATAATTTCATCCCGTTACTCCTGTATTGAGCCCAATAACTTGTGTTTGACCAAAGCCTCTCACAGAAAGGCATCCAGTCTTGATCTGAAGACTTATAGAGAAGGAGAATCCACCACTTCTCTTGGGATTTTGTTCCAATGGTTAATCACTCTCACTGTTAAAAATATGAGCCTTATTTCTAATTTGAATTTCTCTGGCTTTATCTTCCAGCCTTTGCTGGTTTTTTTTTTCATGCTTTATTCTGTATTTGAAGAGTGCCTAGCACACTGTGGGTACTGCCAGAAACAAACAGTAAATGATAATAATAATAATATCTTAGTAATATCTACCCACATTTATTGCATGTTGAAGTGGTATCACGAATGCCCCCAATTGCATTATGTTTTTCACCTTTTTAATCCGAAGAGTTCCAGTCCCAGTCTGCGGATCATACAGACCGTCCGAATGTGCTTTTTTATCCAAGAACCATTTAAAGTTGGTGTCTTTTTTCATGTTTGTTGCCTGTTCGAAGTAAAGGTTTAGCAGTCAGAATACTGATCTTTCTGAATGCAAGGATGTCTTTCTAATTATGAGACTTCAGCTGTCCCAGGGGATTCCCTCAGTATTAGGTGAAGCTTTCCCCCTTGTTTTCCAGAGCTGTTAGGATTTACTTCCAGGATCTTGCCTTTTATCAGTAGGCAAATATCAATTAGTTAGAGCTGGTGTTATTTATGCAGTCTCCTTAAAATGCACATCTATATTAACAATAGATGGATGCTACTGTACACAGTAACAATTGTATAGTAATACTTACCTTGCACATCAGCAGAACTTCACAATCCTCAGTAACCTTCCACTGCAAATTCTCTATAAAATGAGGACCTACAAGTAAAAAAACAAAACAAAAAACCAGTCTTCCTAGTCCTTCCTGCAGGTCTGCTTTTAATATTAGACCATGCAATGGCTCCATCTAGTGGTAAATCGCAGCACTGTCCTCCTTGTATTTAACTCTTCCGTGTTCCAATTTTATGGAATTTGTATTTTATATGCAGTAGGCACCATAATGTTAGATGTATAATTTTAAAAAGTTCCCGAGGACAATAGTTCTTGTGGTGACTAACAGGACTTTTCTTAAAATGCTGGTAGATTATGCTCTCCAATTACTCCTTTCATTTAGGTTGAGTGTCAGGTCAATATTGAAAGATTATGGATATTCTGCAGGTGGAGGGCAATGGAATAGATAATGTGTAAATATTCCAATCTGCTCTCCTGCTATGAACTACCTGTGAACCCAATTAAAAGGCAAATTCATCTGTCCATTTTTAATCTGGTTCTGGTGCCCACAATTCAAAAGGATGTTGACTAATTGGAGAGGGTTCAGAGAAGAGCCATGATAATGACTAAAGGATTAGAAAACCTGCCTTACAGTGATGGCCTGAAGGAGCTCAATCTATTTATCATAACAAAGAGAAGGCTTGGGGTGACTTGATTACAGTCTATAAGTACCTACATGGGAAACAAATATTTAATAATGGGCTCTTCAATCTACCAGAGAAAGGTATAACTCGGTCCAATATCTGGAAGTTGAAGCTAGACAAATTCAGACTGGAAATAAGGTGTAAATTTTTAATGGTGAGAACAATTAACTATTGGAACAATTTATCAAGGGTTGTGGTGGATTCCCTACCACTCACACTTTTAAAATCAAGATTGGATGTGTTTCTAAAAGTTCTGCTCTAGTAATCATTTTGGGGGAGTTCTATATAGCTTGTGTTATGCAGCAGGCCAGACTAGATGATCACAAAGGTCTCTCTGGACTTGGAATCTATGAATCAGCTACTCTTTTCCATGAAAACAGCTTTTTTATACTCATTATTCATACATCAGCCACAAGGTAGGGGAGGGAGACAGGGGAATGTACTGTTCCCATTGACAGTGAAGATTTCCACATTCTCTGCTTTCCACCAGGAGATAAAGATGGACCTGAGTCCCATCTGAACTGGACCTTTTCTGAATCTCAGGCATGTTCAGAGTCAGGGTGTTGGTTCAGGGGCCCTCTTCCAGAGACAGCTGGTCACATGCCTCGAACTATTAAAACAAATCAAACTTTGATTTTATTTGATTTTTAATGGCCAGAAAACAGTAACCTAAAATAAAATGCTCTATCTTAGTCCAGCAAGCAGTTTAAATAAGAGTATACTGAAGAGAGCAATTTACTTTTCACTTATTGTTTGGGCTCTCAGTAGAATATCCTTGTTTCAGCTTTCACCAACTTTTCACCAGTCCTGGCAAAGTCAGTGACCTTGAGGCTATCTTACCTTGCTTTCTCCTCCAGTCTCTCCGCTTAGCATCAGCCTCCGCCTCAACTTTATCAAAACCTGAAAGAACAAACAGTGACAGATCAGGGTCAACAAAAGGGCATTGAAACAACCATTACAACCCCTTTCCATGTAACTTGGTATAGATTCCTAACCGGGAAGGATGTTACTCTAAAACACATACAGTGTATGATATTTCTAAGAGCCATCTCTCCAGCCTCAGTTAAACTCTGTTCTTCAGTATAGAATCCGTGGCAAGGTCAGCTCTATTAGCCTTTCATGCTGCTAGCAGCTCAGAATGTAATATTTATTTTCAAGAAGATACAGTGAATTTGCTTTTAAGAGCTGATCTTTAGGCAGTGGAAGCTCCCATTGGTTTAAATAGGAGTTTTGTGGGGTATGTAAAGAATACAGGATGGAGTCCTGGAACTTGCAACTTTTCAAGGGAGAAATATTAGAAATACAGATTCAGACATCAAGAGACTCAATCCAATAAGATTAAAAACAATCACGAAACTGTTTAAAAATGAGAACTGTCAAATAAAGGCTACAGTATTATTTAGGGAAGAATTTAGACTGGAAAACTGCAACTTTCTGTTCATAAAGAGCCAAAAATGTTTCTGTACACTTGCACATATGGGCCTATCTGTTCACCTTACAGAGCTCCGTTCTCTTTTCCATATGGACTTTCTCTATTCACTGCAGTTTCTTTATTGCACTTATTCAAATGTAGTTGTTAACGTCCTTGAATTTTCAGGCCAATGTTATGATAAGTTAAAATGACTAAAAATCACAGTACACACCATCAGTCCCTGTGTGTCAATAGATAGTTTGTTGTGAGGGAATTATGTGTATACAGCAAATAAAGAAGAAAATATATGAACACAGATCCATGGCTGTGATGTTCTAGCAGGGCCAAAGATTATTATCCAGGACTCCAGATATAAAACTAAAGTCTTGGATCTGTGCTAAGGAGCCATTCAGATAGCTTCTACTGGAAGACCGATTCCTGGCTTTTGAATAAATGCATTAAAATAAATACTTGATACCTTCAATCACTACCCACAATATAACTGTGGGAAACCATTTGTGGCCATTAGCTGGCACTTTCTCTAAGGTTCTGATCCAAAATGTACTGAAGTCAGTAGAAAAACTCCCACTGAGTTCAGTGGGCTTTGGATTAAGCCCTGAATCTCTACTTACTGTCATCAATGAGAGCCAGAGTGAACTGGTTTTTAGCTTTTCCATCTTGCAGCTGGGCTGTGTACGTCCCCTTATCGTCATCACAGAAGTCCTGGATTATTAGTTCTATGAGGCCGTTTGCTTTGTCAAAGTTTATCTTATGTGTCTACGTAAAACAAAGTATTGGTGGTAAATTGGTCAGTTTTTCATAGGGAAATTATTCCAGCATCAAATCCTAGCCCCATGCCGTCTTCAACATAGAGTCTGGCTGGAGCTACAGAGCCTGGCTTCGCTCTACACCTGTAGAACCACCCTGGTATATTTGCCCTGGATACCTGTGGTATGACTGCACTGCCTATAAAAGGTGTATTCTTAACGCAGGTTAGCTAACTTGGGTAAAAATAGCAGTGAAGACATGGCAGCTTGGTTCTTAACTCGGGTTAGCAGCTCAAGGGAAACCCTGCAAGGGAGCCTGGGATAAAACTTGAGTTGCTAACCCAAGTTAGAAGTCGAGTCTCCATGTCTTCATTAAGAAAAGGAGTACTTGTGGCACCTTAGAGACTAACCAATTTATTTGAGCATAAGCTTTCCTGAGCTACAGCTCACTTCATCGGATGCATACTTGTGGAAAATGCAGTGAGGATGTTTTATACACACAGACCATGAAAAAATGGATGTTTATCACTTCAAAAGGTTTTCTCTCCCCCCACCCCACTCTCCTCTGGTAATAGCTTATTTAAAGTGATCAGTCTCCTTACAATTTGTATGATAATCAAGGTGGGCCATTTCCAGCACAAATCCAGGGTTTAACAAGAATGTCTGAGGAACAGTGCGGGGGGGGGGGGGGAAGCAAGGGGAAATAGGTTACCTTGCATAATGACTTAGCCACTCCCAGTCTCTATTCAAGCCTAAGTTAATTGTATCCAATTTGCAAATGATTTCCAATTCAGCAGTCTCTCACTGGAGTCTGGTTTTGAAGTTTTTCTGCTGTAATATTGCAACTTTCATGTCTGTAATCGCATGATCAGGGAGATTGAAGTGTTCTCCGACTGGTTTATGAATGTTATAATTCTTGACATCTGATTTGTGTTCATTTATTCTTTTATGTAGAGACTGTCCAGTTTGACCAATGTACATGGCAGAGGGATATGATGGCATATATCACATTGGTAGATGTGCAGGTGAACGAGCCTCTGATAGTGTGGCTGATGTGATTAGGCTCTGTGATAGTGTCCCCTGAATAGATATGTGGGCACAGTTGGCAACGGGCTTTGTTGCAAGGATAGGTTCCTGGGTTAGTGGTTCTGTTGTGTGGTATGTAGTTGCTGGTGAGTATTTGCTTCAGGTTGGGGGGCTGTCTGTAGGCAAGGACTGGCCTGTCTCCCAAGATTTGTGAGAATGATGGGTTGTCCTTCAGGATAGGTTGTAGATCCTTGATAATGCGCTGGAGAGGTTTTAGTTGGGGGCTGAAGGTGACGGCTAGTGGCGTTCTGTTATTTTCTTTGTCTATTTTCATGTCTTCATTGCTATTTTAACCCAAGTTAAAAATGTACCTTTTTTTTTCTTTTTTGCAGTGTAGACACACCCAGGGCTACAATGGGGCCAACAAACCCTCTCCCTCCTCATGCCCATCCCTTACTCTGGTGTAATCATGGTCCAGGACTTGACTCCCAAATGAATTTTGTTTTCTATTAAAAGTCCATATGCATTTGTGTACTGGGTTTTCACATCAGCACAGGGGAACCTGCTTGTGGCAGGGTGTTTCTGTGGAGAACACAGCCTAAGAGGTTTCCACTGTAACACATAGTACAATAGATTCTCCCTTGCTGCGTATTAAACCTCCCAACTCGCCAGGATTCTGTGCGATCACATGGATTTTTATGTAATGAAAAAGAGCTCTTGAAAGCAGCAGCCATGTGTTGCAAGTAGTCACACCTCTGGGTGGTAGTGAGGGTAACACCTCCACCCCATGGCACTGTGCACTCACTAATATACCAGGAACATTTATATATACACACGCTTAAATCCATCAGACGTTTAAAAATGTTAGCTGTCATCATTAGTCGTGGCCAACCTGTTTGCCGCAAGCAAATATTACCAATACAAAGAGCTTGACATGCACTGTTTAATCATGCATTACCACATAAACCACACAGTCGAGGAAAGATAGTGATTGCATAGGGAAAGCCTCAAAGAATGTTGCTAGACACTTTCTGTCTCTGGAGAACACATGGCAACAAAGGCTAGGAGAGGCTTCAGGTTTTGCCTATCACAAAACACCCATGACTTTGTTATTTTGACATTGTTAGACTGCATTTGAACCACAGGTGAATAGTTCCATTATCCTTTTCTTAATTCTGAACCGTCGAGTCCCACAGAGTAAATACTTTTTAAAACATATATAGCATTAGGTTTTGGGATGGGAGGGCCAAAAAGGGGTTAATATGTTCTTTTAAATGTACAACAATGCAAGAGTACTTTGCGACACATGATGCAATGTTATTTTCAATGTCTGCAATTTGGAAATGGGTTGCATGCATCTGCTCTCAAAAGCCAGAAGATTTATACACAGCCAACTCAAAGACGGGTGTGAAAATCAGCCAGGCTTGCTGGGTAGTACAGAAGGGGCAGCATTAAGCCTCCCCCTCATCTAACTGGCAAAGACAGTATTTCTTAGCACATGCTCACACCAGGACTAAATTAGTCATGGGAGACTGGATTCTTTGGTGCACCAAGCTCGCTTATCATGTAAAGTGAACTCAAAAAGGTTGGAGATTGCCCCTGGAGAACCCCCTTGTTCGGGGAGAAAGTCTGCTAGTGCAAAGACGGCAGAGGTAGCTCTGCTGCCTGACTGTGTCATATTCTTCATTGCAGCTCCCAACCCCCTTCTTAGCATAAGGGGATGTAGGGTGTGTGTCAGGAATGGGGATGGGAAGAGGTTAGGGTGGAGTGAGGTTCTCTCATGTTCAGTTCTCTGCTGGCACAAGATGCCCAAGGGACGTTACATCATAGACTTTAACTAATGTTGAGACTTGACAGCTGAGAATCCGGGAGCAGTGACTGGCTCTCTCTCAGACCACTGGGGCACGGTGGGGAATGAAGCCCGGAGTCTTCGAAAAGACGAAGCATAAAAATATGTGATGGGAAACAATAGGCTTCTGATTCAATGATCTCCTCTGAGCTCTGGTTTCATAGAGACAGTCTAGCCCATTGTGAAGACGGGTCAGAGGAAGTCACGCACACGTTGGGCGTTTAGAAGGAACACACGAACCGGAGTGCTTGAAAGCTCCTTCCCATTGAAGATTAAATGCAGCTCTGCCTCTGGCGACAGCTTTTCCACCTCCAGCCACAGACGCACTTCTCCTTTCTCAAGGACATCGATGTTCCACCCGGAGATCAGCTCAATCACTGGAAGGAGAGGGAATGTGGCTGGTCATGGTTGAGGATTTAGGATAAAATCCTGATCCAATGGTATCAGTTGGAGTTTAGATACTGATCTCAATTTCACCCTTACTGTGCATTATATTTGAATCTAAATCCTTCCCATGCGATCAGATGACACTTTGGGCACAAACAAGGCTCCTCCATCCCTGTCTATTATGCTCTTTGTTGGAATGACTACCATATTGTCTTTCCATAACTTAAGCCAACGACCTAGCCTCATAAAAAAGCTATCATTCAACCCCCAGCCTGGAGGGCCAGTGGATGGCTCTTTGTCTAGTCCCTCCCCATTGACCTGTCCAGCTTGGGTGGCCCTACCAAGAGATCAAACTCCTGCTGGCTTAACTCCCAGGCACACAACTCCCAGGCATGCAATTCCCACTGGCACACAAAAGTCTTCCCACAGTCCCCAGGAAAGTCTGTGTATGATGTTCCCAAATGCCTGGTGCCACTAGTTCAACTTACATGGGTTTCTGATTTCATGACTAATTTTCCGCAAATTGTCCAGTTCTGAAAATGCAAAGAACAGCACAGGACTTAGATCAGTAAAGCCAAACTGAAACCACAACTCATTATCAATTCATCTTGTTAACAGACCCTTCATCATCCAGTCAAGTAGTCCTTAACAGGTACAAAACAAGTCATAGTTGAAGGGATTATGAAGCTGGGAAAATAATATCCAATGCTGGCATCAGTTAGAGAAACAGCTTTAAAGAAAAGCCTAAATTACTGTGATGTTGTGGTAATATGCAAAACTCTGAGGCCTAGTCTACGCTAGAAAATTAGGTCAGTTTATCTATGTTGGCCAGATGTGTGAAAAATCCACACCCCTGATCAGTGTTGTTAAACCAATCTAAATCCCCATGTAGACAGCACTATGTTGACAGAGGAATTCTTCTATCAACCTAGCTACTGCCTGTCAAGGAGGTGGATTAGCTACGCTGATGGGAGGGATTCTCCTGTTGGCGTAGGTAGCGCTGTGCCACTGTAGCATTTTAAGTGTAGACAAGCCCTGAGGCTGTGAGAACATTTCTTTTCTCATGCCATATGTCATGACCTTCAAGTTCTCATACCATAGGAGTAATCAGTCACATCTGGCCATTTAAAGGATAGGAAGTCTCCTTTCTATTCCCATTATGTGGCACCACTTCTTCTCCTAAAGGTCTGGGAAGAGCTTTTGCCCAGCCATTCAGAATTAACAAATTACAGCCCATGGGAAGATATTTGTAATGAGGGATTTTTACCTTCCTGGGTTAAAGTATGGCTGGCGGAGATCTCATCATCTACATCAGTTACCTCCACTGAATATGTCCCCAGATCCTTTTCTGATGCATTTTTCAGTATGAGTTTAGATCTTGAAGAAGAAAAAGAAACACATTAGGGGTCTGTCTAAAATGGGGCTATTTGAGAGGACAACGCAACATAGTTTGTAAATCTAGAGGAGCAAACATGTAGTAATTTGAATGCAACTGTGGGAGTAGCACAGCCAAAATGTCTTAAAGCGTTAGCAGAAGAACAACTCTGATTCTTCCTTTCTGTGATGCTCAAGGCCTAACTGAGCTCCACACATCATGGGCTCTGGATTTGGAAGTCAGGACAGTAGTCCAGATATGCTTGGGAAATAAAAGCAATGGGTCAAATTCATCCCTGATGTATCATCAGCAGTGTTCTCTGGTTAGTGTTAGTGTTCCTAATAAGATTGGAAGTTTGGGTTCATTGTCAGATGTGTTGTAAAAGTACAAATGTTTATCTGAGGTTTGAAGGGTGAGAGGAAGGATCTTACATTTTCCATACTGGTTCTTCAACCATCTCTAATGGAGAGGTTGAACATTTGGGTTGGGAGGTTGAAAGCTTTGCTTTCCATCATTTCTCTGGAAAATATTTTGTCCTGATGTTTTCCCCAGCTTAGTGTGTAAACAGTCCTCTGCCCCACTTTCCGACACTCATTTTCCCAATGTACATTGCCCACTTACTTGTTGCCTTTATCTTCAGTTCCGACTCGGTTAGGATCTGGAGGTCCCTCATAATCCTTTGACCAGATAAATTCAGAAGTGTCACACATATCAGGAGTTTCAAAGGCCATGTAAATAAAGCCCTCTTTGTCCACTCCCAGTTCAATCTCATTTGTGCCTGCATAAGAGAAACAAAATTTTGGAAACATTAGGAAAAACTTTCTAACTATAAAGATAGTTAAGCACTGGAATAGGCTTCCAAAGGAGGTTGTGAAATAAGAACATAACGGCCATACTGAGTCAGACCAACAGTCCATCTGGCCCAGTATCCTGTCTTCTGATGGTGGCCAGTGCCAGATGCTTCAGAGGAAATGAACAGAACAGGGCAATTTTGAATGATCCATCCCCTGTCATCCAGTTCCAGCTTCTGGCAGTTGGAGGGTTAGGGATACCCAGAGCATAGGGTCCCTGACCATCTTGGCTAATAGCCATTGATGGATCTCTCCTCCAGGAACTTATCTAGTTCTTTTTTGAACCTAGGTAAACTTCTGGCTTTCACAACATCCCATGGCAATGAATTCCACACATTGTGTGATGAAGTACTTTCTTTTTTTGTTTTAAACCTGCTGCCTATTAATTTCTTTGGGCGACTCCCTACTTCTTGTGTTATGTGAGGGGGTAAGTAACACTTTCCTATTCACTTTCTCCACACCATTCATGATTTTATAGACGTCTATCATATCCTCCCCTTACTTGTCTCTTTTCATAGATGAACAGTCCCAGTATTTTTAATCTCTTCCTATGGAAGCTATATTCCACACCCCTAATAATTGTTGTTGACCTTCTCTGCACCTTTTCCAGTTCTAATATATCTTTTTTGAGATTATGGTGACCAGAATCACATGCAGTATTCAAGGTGTGGGCATACCATGGAGTTATATAGTGGCATTATGATATTTTCTGGTTTATTATCTATCCCTTTCCTTATTGGTTCCTAATATTGTTAGCCTTTTTGACTGCCCCTGCACATTGAGTGGATGTTTTCAGAGAACTATCCACGATGATGCCAAGATCTCTTTCTTGCGTGGTAACAACTAATTTAGACCCCAACATTTTGTATGTATAGTTGGGATTATTTTTTCCCAATGTTCATTATTTCATACTTATCAACATACATTGAATTTCATCTGCCATTTTCTCACCCAGTTTTGTGAGATCCCTTTGTAACAATTTGCTGTCAGATTTGGACTTAACTATCATGAGTAATTTTGTATCATCTGCAAATTTTGCCACCTCACTATTCACCCCTTTTTCCAGATTATTGAACAGCACAGGTCCCTGCACTGATCCTTGAGGGACCCCGCTATTTACCTATCTCCATTGTTACCATTTATTCCTACCCTTTGTTTCCTATCTTTGAACCACTTGCTAATCCATGAGAGGACCTTACCTCTTATCCCAGGACTGCCTACTTTGCTTAAGAGCCTTTGGTGAGGGACTTTGTCAAAGGCTTTTTGAAAGTCCAAGTACACTATATCCACTGGATCACCCTTGTCCGCATACTTGCTGATTCCCTCAAAGAGTTCTAATTGATTGGTGAGGCATGATTTCCCTTTATAAATGCTGTATTGACTCTTCCCCAGCATATCATGTTTATCTGTGTGTCTGATAATTCTGTTCTTTACTATAGTTTAAACGAATTTGCCTGGTACTGAAGTTAGGCTTACCAGCGTATAATTGCCAGGATTGCCTCTGGAGCCTTTTTCAAAAATCAGCATTACATTAGCTACCCTCCTGTCATCTGATAGAGAGGCTGATTTAAGTGATAGGTTACATACCACTGTTAATAGTTCTGCAATTTCATATTTTAGTTCTTGGGTGAATACTATCTGGTCCTGGTGATTTATTACTGTTTAATTTATCAATTTGTTCAAAAACCTCCTCTCTTGACAACTCAATTGGGGACAAAAAGAAAAGGAGTACTTGTGGCACCTTAGAGACTAACCAATTTATTTGAGCATAAGCTTTCGTGAGCTACAGCTCACTTTATCGGATGCATACTGTGGAAACTGCAGAAGACATTATATACACAGAGACCATGAAACAATACCTCCTCCCACCCCACTCTCCTGCTGGTAATAGCTTATCTAAAGTGATCACTCTCCTTACAATGTGTATGATAATCAAGTTGGGCCATTTCCAGCACAAATCCAGGTTTTCTCACCCCCCCTCCCCTTTTTCCAAAAACCACACACACAAACTCACTCTCCTGTGGTAATAGCTTATCCAAAGTGACCACTCTCCTTACAATGTGTATGAAAATCAAGGTGGGCCATTTCCAGCACAAATCCAGGTTTTCTCACCCCCCACCCCCATACACGCACAAACTCACTCTCCTGCTGGTAATAGTTCATCCAAAGTGACCACTCTCCCTACAATGTGTATGATAATCAAGGTGGGCCATTTCCAGCACAAATCCAGGTTTTCTCACACCCCCCCCCAAACACACAAACTCACTCTCCTGCTGGAAATGGCCCACCTTGATTATCATACACATTGTAAGGAGAGTGGTCAGTTTGGATGAGCTATTACCAGCAGGAGAGTGAGTTTGTGTGTGTGTGTGTGGGGGGGGGGGGGGCGGAGGGTGAGAAAACCTGGATTTGTGCTGGAAATGGCCCAACTTGATTATCATACACATTGTAAGGAGAGTGATCACTTTAGATAAGCTATTACCAGCAGGAGAGTGGGGTGGGAGGAGGTATTGTTTCATGGTCTCTGTGTATATAATGTCTTCTGCAGTTTCCACAGTATGCATCCAATGAAGTGAGCTGTAGCTACGAAAGCTTATGCTCATATAAATTGGTTGGTCTCTAAGGTGCCACAAGTACTCCTTTTCTCTTTACAATGTGTATGATAATAAAGGTGGGCCATTTCGCATTTGTCCTGTGAAAAGAATGGCTCAGCTGTGGGAGTCTCCCCCACATCTTCTGCAGTGAAGGCCAATGCAAAGAATTTATTTAGCTTCTCTGCAACAGCCTTGTCTTCCTTGAGTGCTCCTTTAATGCCTCAATCATCCAGCGCCCTCACTGACTGTTTTGCAGGCTTCTTGTGATCTACTTAAAAAATATTGTGCTGTTAGTTTGTGTGTCTTTAGTTAGTTTCTCTTCAGATTCTTTCTTGGCCTGCCTTATTTTACTTTTACACTTGACTTGCCAGTGTTCATGCTCCTTTCTATTTTCCTCACTTGGATTTGACCTTCAATTTCTAAAGGATGCCTTTTTCTCCTCTAACTGCCTCTTTTACTCTGCTGTTTAGCCCTGGGAGTGGTTTTTTTTTTCTTTTTTCTTTTTTGGTTCTCCTACTATTTTTTTTTTGTTTGAGGTATATATTTAGTTTGAGCCTTTATGGTGTTTTTATATATGCATGTAGTTTGCAGGCATTTCACCCTTGTTGACAGTTCCTTTTAATTTCCATGTGACTACCTTCCTCATTTTTGTGTGGTTCCCTTTATTGAAGTTAAATACTATGTGGTGGGTTTCTTTGGTATGTTTTCCCTACAGAGATGTTACATTTTATTACATTATGGTCACTATTACTGAATGGTTCATCTATATTCACCTCTTGGACCAGATCCTGTGCTCCACTTAGGACTAAATCAAGAATTGCCTCTCCCCTTGTAGGTTCCAGGACAAGCTGCTCCAAGAAGCAGTCATTTATGGGTCCAGAAATTTTATCTTTGCAGCCCTTCCTGAGGTGACATATACCCAGTCAATATGAGGATCGTTGAAATCACTCATGGTTATTGCATTTTCTGCTTCTCTAATCTCCCTAAGCACTTTATAATCACCGTAACCATTCTGGTCAGATGGTTGGTAGTATATTCCTACTGCTATAGTCTTATTGTTCTAGCATGGAATTTCTATCCACAGAGATTTTATGGCACAGTTTGATTCATTTAGTCCCAATCACTAGAGGTTTTTAAGAATGGGTTAGACAAAGACCAGACAGGGAAGGTCTAGGTTTATTTGGTCCTGCCTTAGCGCAGGGGGCTGGACTAGATGACCTCTCAGGGTCCCTTCCAAGCCTACATTTCTAAGGTCCTTTATCCAAACAAAGCAGGACACAGTGTCCACACAGATGACTTCACCTTTCTCTCTCTCTCTGGCACACAGTGCAAACAAAGATGGGATCTGAATGCAAAGAAAGACGGTATTCTGTATTTTCAGAGAAGTCCAGAGCTACATAATTTAGATCATTTCTGGCCACTGGACTTGCTCATCTATATCCTTTAATCTTGTCACTCCATTTGCTGTTGTTAAAAATGAATAAAAATGGAACTAAATATTTAATAAGCAGGTTCTTATCAGAGTATTAATAAGATTTTTAGAGAAATCTGTCTTGGTGTACCCCGTTAAAAATCACAGCACGGCATCTCTGAGATATGTAGCAAACTCCCTTTCTATGGATGCTTGGGCTGTTGTGATAGACAGTTTTTTCCCCTAAAGCAAAGGGTCAAATTCATCCTTTGTGTAACTGCACTGGAATAAAATAAAATGTGTTTATGCCAGGGCTAAATTAATCACATTTAGCAGGACAGAACAGATTACATCCATGCAGACTGAAACACAAAATGGGACCATTTTTATTGCACATGGTCCAACTGTGAAGCATGTTAATATGCACTACATGCAAGCCAGCTGGTCCTTATACTTAATCCTCCCTCAGTGTGGGGGGGCTGGAGTAGAGGATCTTTTGAGGTCCCAACCCTAACCCCCAGCCCTACACTCCTGTGATTCTGTTTGCACTGCAGGTGCAGTGGGTACTCTCACACACATTGCAAACGTTTATCATAGCACAAGATGAACTGTAAACTCAGCTAATCAGTAGTGAAAGAGGATGGTCCATTGGGTAGGATGCTCGCCTTAGACTGGGGAGCACTGTGTTCAAACCCCTGCTCTTCCACGGACTTGTGTGTGAAGTGTAGCAAATCACTGAGTGTCTCTGTACTACAGAGAAATCTAGCATTCCCCTACTTCACAGTGTGCTGCGAGGAAGGATAAATGTGTTGGAGATTACGAGGTGCTCGAACCCTATGGTAACAGGGACAGGAGACGTATTGAGATAGAATACTCTATTTTCCCCTCACACTTCAGCCTGTGCAATTAACCCTAGTGTCTTTTTATTGAGAGGCATTCAACAAAGACAGAATTTGTTCAGCCTTAGGCTCATACCTGGTTTGGTTTCAACCACCACAGGATCAGAGGGAATGGAAGGTAGACTAATCCCTGCCTTGTTCAATGCCCGTACTCGAAAAATGTAGCATTTCCCCGTCTCCAGGTCAGAAACCTGTGGAAACCCAATGTAATGAATTACACCATGCTAAATAATAAGGAATGCTTGCCTGCTTGGCTTGTATACAAACCCTCATGTGGGTGTTGGCTGTCGGCTGCTTATTTAGTTGCTTCCATTCCTCTGACCCCTCTTCACAGACATCAATGTAATATCCAGTGACTGGACCTGCTCCTGTATACAACGGTGCTTCCCAGTGCAGCATCAGGTTTGTGTCCCGCACCTCGGTGAACCTCACATCATAGGGGGGGCCTGTTTGGAAGAAGGGTAGACTGTCACACAGGGACATCACAACAGACGATGCAGTAACGTGCCTCTGGTGTGAGCCTCAGATCGTAGAGGGCAGTGAATGAATGGTGGGTTCAGAAGAGGTCCTTTCTCCAGCAGGCTTTGTATGAAAATGGCCACGTTGTCCTATTTAATGTCATCTGTACTTATGTAACATACTGAGAGGTTTACATAGTGCGTCAGGGTTCCCCATTCTCTGGCAACAGGATTCCAGAGCATGGGGCTCCCAACTGGCTACATGGTGTAGTGTACAATGATCCTTCTTCTTCTTTATTATTTGTATTACTGTAGCACCTAGGATCCTAGTCATGGACCAGGGTCACATGGTGCTAGGCGCTATACAAACAGAACAAAAAGATGATCCCTGTCCCATAGAGATTCTCCTCGTGCTCTGAGGATGGGATCTCAGAGCCTGAGGTGCCTGCTTTATTTTGTAGCAGATGACTTATTTTTTTCCTGTGTTCCTTTAGTACAGTCCCAGGAAACAGGGTGTCCTAAGCTAGGGGCCATGGGGAGCTGCACCTCTGTGCATGCCTGAGGTAAGAGGTGCTTCTCCGGGACCAGCGTGGTTTGTATCTCCTTGCCTGGTGACATGTATGCTAACATTTTAGTGAAAGGGATTCAGATTCCCAACTCACCTGCGTGACTGGGAGATGGGCCCAAGCTGCAAAACTCTGGCACAGATTCCAACCCCAGCCTTCCCAAAATGTGGAAGGAGCTCTGAGCAGGGCTTCTGGTTCTGTCTGCTATACAGATCACAATACGGCTCCTGATGCAAACTTCCCCAAAGTTTAGTGTGTTTGAATCCAGGGTTCTTACCAGAGCTCATCAATATGACCAAATCCATAGTTTTCCAAAAATCTCATAACATCACAGAAGAGTAAGTCAGTTTATCTTATGAAAGGGGGATAGTTAATGTCCCTAGAATTGTTTTCTGGCTGTTGCTGACATGTTGTCCTTACCTGTCTGTGGCATCGTCCATTCCTCACACTTGAACAAGTCACTGGGTTCAGATACTTTCCCCACTCCCGCCATGTTCGTCGCACAAGCACGGAACTCATAGAAATGTCCTTCATTGAGGTTGGTAACCTTTGAGATCAGAAGCAAAGAGATTATTAGCATAGCTTTGTATAGTACAGTGTGTTTGTAATTAGGATCTTTAAGGGCATGTTTTTAGGATGGCATGGAAAGGGTTTATAAAAACCCCTCCTAACCTAGTAACAAAGAGCATTTGTAGATAATTCAGTGCATCTGTTAAAAACATCCTGCGTACACATTGTATTAGGAAAGAAAAGAGCAACCTGCCAATTAAGATACCCTTAAAACATACTGTTGCCCCTTTGGCCTGAGTGGTTAGCCAAAATGTGGGGTCTTGCAGAGTTGTTTCTGTTAGGAGGAGAAATGACTGATATGAGTCAGGCATAGTCTTGGTGTAATCTGGTGTGTTTACAAAAAACTTACACAAAGTCTTGTTTCCCTGAACAAAGTAGAAACAAACCACAGCAGGCCATTTTTTTTTTTTTTGGCTCAGAAATCCCTAACTCTGCTACTCCTGTGAGCTCCATGTCCAAGGAGCCATATCCCTCTACTTCTGCTTCGAGTCAAACTCACAGCTGCTTCCCCTGGCTTTTTGCTCTAACACGCACAACCTGCAACAGATATCCTACACCTCGCAATCAGGGAAGCTCTTCAGTCCACACAGCTGAGCTCTGACCTACTGTGTGGCCTAGGTCCTTGGGTGGTAGCCCCCACACCCAATGCCAGAAAGGGGCTTGATTGCTCTTTCTGTTGAGCCGGAACGAGACCTCACAGGATCTTAGTAATCCTGTAGAATAATTAGTAAGAGATGTGTGATGCTGAATTATGATGAATTAAGAATAGCAGCAACATTGTATTACTCAGAACTCTCCAAACAGCCCCAGATGCACTGGGCATCAGACTGTGGGACAAACTTGAACTGAATTGCATCCCCCAGGTCCAACAGAGAAGTTGTCAGAGTTACTGGGGACACTCAAAGGTGTGGGATGAGGAACAGGGAAAGAGCAAGATAGGGAGGGGGTCTGGGCTACAGAAGGGTCAAGGCTGGAGGAGGAAAATGGCTCACCTCTTCATCTAGCCATCACTCCCTCACACAGAAATGCAGTATTGCATTATGAAATCAATACCTTGTAAACTCGTTGAACAATAGGTCTGATGTTGACTTCATGCCAATCTAGCTCTGCAGCATCATGCTGATCTAGGAAGTAGCCCAGAATCTTTCCTCCTCCTTTGTGCTTTGGGGCTTTCCACCCAATAGTCATGTCCTTCTTCCCACAGCTCAGCAGGGCAAAGTCACGTGGGGCTGACGGACGAGCTAATGGTGAGGACAAAACAGGGAGGAAAATAGATATTGTATGAAATATATTTGGGATCCTGCTGGCGATCCAGAAAAGAGCTGTTGATGTTGAATCAGTGAGAGTGACTTATCTGTGCCAGGCATGTTCACACTGGGCTTGATTTTCATTTGCTAAGGCCCCTTTACACTACTCTGGCTATGTAAAGGGGCCTTCAAATGCGCCTAATTTTCATTTAAATTGTTTGTGGGGAAACTCCTGGGTGTTTCGGAGCTTTATAGTTTTAACTGGTGCAGGGCAAATGCAAGAGAGGGTCGGGGGAAGGCAGCAGTGTGAGATAATGGAGAACGATGAAGGCACGTGATATGACTGCTGGGAGGCTACTAATGGGGTCTGCACCGGAGAAGTGGAAGATACTGAACCAGATTCTCTGCTCTCTTGCATTTTGTGTGGTCACTTACACCTGTGCCAAGTGCATGCAATGCAATGTGAAACACTAACAAATCAGAGTGATAACGTTCTACAGTCACTTTGGACAAGTGCAAATGAGGAGACAAGCCGCAAGTCAGGAGAGAATAAAGCCCCCTCTACCTCTACCTGCTTAGGGGTGGGATCATTTACAAGTGGCTAGACCCAGCTGTGCATAAAAGATACATTGACGAGGGAGCTAGTTTTCTAGTATGTGCAATGCAATACTTACAGATAGCCGGCCTGACAATGATGGGGTCAGATTCTGGTGAGCTGTCACTCACTCCTGCTTCATTGACAGATTTCACACAAAATACATACTCCTTCCCAGGCTGAAGCCCTGGAACAGTAAACCTATGAGAGATCATTAATTTGCTTGCATGTAGGTGTTCAAAGTAAGGCAAAGAGCCCTTTGGAAGAAAACGGCATTTCAATAATTTTATCAGTGTGCTACAATTTATTTCTGTGTCATGCGGTTCTTTACCCCTGTAGCTTAAAGCGCATTGACTCACAAAAGTGTTACCTATAGAACAATCAGTAAATAGGGGTCTGATCTTGAGAGTTATTGAGCTGATTCTAGGCACTACAATTCCCGATGAAATCAACGGGAGTTGTGGGCATTTGGCACCTCTCAACATCTGGATCCGATAAAAGAAACTTTAGTGAAGGCCTTCTGCACCGGGGCAAACTTGGAGAGAGAGGGTGTTTAATGGCTGTCTCCCAGCTCTTCTTATTGGATCAGAGTCTCATTCACACTAAGGTCCCTTTACACTGCTCTGCCTGTGGAAAGGGGACTTAAAGTTTTCACTCACCTTGAGACCTCTTTGTGCTGCCGGACTGCTGTAAAGCAGCCTTTATGTAAATGAGAATCCGGCCTTTGAGTTTCAGCCTGACAGGTATCTATGCTCTGATGCCACCTGCCCTTTGTGGGCACCAGTGCATTTTACTTATGGGATGACTGAGCATGTGCTGAGCATCCCCTAAAACGCATTCCACGAGAAGCATCTATTTCAGACCATGCCTGCCCACTGTCCAAAATTGCACTTTCTGAGGGAGTGTGGCCTAATGGATAGACCACTGGACTGGGACTCAGGAGACCTGACTCTGCCACTGGACTGCTGGTGACCTTGTGCAAGTCACTTTCCCCTCCCTGTGCCTCGGTTTCCTCATCTGTAAAACGGGGATAATGTTACTGCCCTTCTTGGTAAAGGGCTATATAAGAGCTAGGTATTATTACAGGCATTTTCTAATTCATTAACATCAGGCCGTATAACAAGAGGCATTCCCTTACTCCCCATTCTTGAAAGATGACACATTGTTAATCCATAGAGCAAATACAAATGGTCTGTCGTTCCACAGACACTGCAAGATCTACCTCCCCAGTAATGACTGTGTTCTGACAACACATGGAAACATGTGTTACTTTGCTGCCCCACATGTTAACTTGCCTCAGATGTTAAATTAAATCTGGACATTCCAGAACCTGAACAGTGGTTCGGTTCTAAAAACAGGCAAAGGTTTCAGATGTGTGTTATGTGTGCTCGTATGTGTAGGGGAATTCTTTTTTTATCTGCACCCCATTCCTACCATAAACACAGAAATCCAAGTGAATGCACCGTATTTGCTGAATGGAGGTCAATTGCTAAACTCACTTGTTACACGTCACGGGTTTATTGTTGACAGTCTGCCATTCATCTGTCCCAACCTCCTGACAATATACGTAATAGCCGAGGGGCTCCTGATCCTCCTTCAACTTATCCCAGTGCACAACAACAGACGTCTTGGTGTCTCTGAAAGCTAGAACCTGAGAGGGAGGTGGGAGCGGAGCTGAAAAAGGGGAAAAAATGGAACACAATAAGGTTTATTCTATTATAAATTGTAACTCAGTTCCAGGGGTGACTTGGGATGTTTGATATCCTCATGGCCGGGGCATCATTTCCCAAAGCAGAGCACAGTGTCTTGATCCAATCTCCTGATTGCAGCCTGTGGGTGTGTCTGTTTGTCTGTCTCTAGATTTATAAGGCCTCATTCTCCTCTCACACCATTGTAACTCCATTGATAACGCAGAAGTTACTCCTGGGGTTTATACCTTCCTAAATCAGAGGAGAATCAGGCCCCAATTCCCAACTCCACATGCTGTTTTGGGGACAAAATACAAAGGTCACACTAGATGGGAGCAGCCAGAGGCACAGAACACCCTGAATGAACTTCAGGCCACCTTCAAACGAGAGAATGAAAAAGGCCAGCACAAGGCCTAGAGGCCTAACTTTGGCATGACACATGGGAAACACGAGTCTTTGCCTCCTCGTATTCTAGACATCTCAGCCCAAATATTACACAATTATCGCCCCCAACCAAACATCCCATGTCCTGCTGCTGCTCATCCTGGAGTCCCCAGAGACTGACTCCGTCACCCACCGTTGTAGAATAGGGCTGTGGCCTTCCTTCTTGTGCTGCTATGTGCTACATCTGTCTTAGAGCATGTACGACACAGGAGACATTTGAGCGAGTCCCAGAAGTATGCTTGGAATGGAATATAGGGACTTGATCTGTTTCCTTTTTTTAATAACTTTAATTCCAGCCTCATTGGTTGGTTAGATTTACGCTGTGTGCTGAGCAACTGCAATGTAATTAAATATGGATTTAAGGCTTTGAGAGACTTCCTGAAGTCCAAGTGAGAGCTGTAATGATGTACCGCAGTGCACAAAGGAAAGAGAAAAGAAGCCAATGCTAGTGTTATAACATATCACCTTTTCCATGTTATTAGTGTCATGCTTTTTATATTGTTACCTAATGTTGTTCCAGCAGTAATGGGCTCACTGGGCAAGGATGGCTCGCTTACTCCGTATTTGTTAGCAGATCGCACTCGGAAACAGTATGATTTTCCCTTCACAAGATCAAAGAGTGCAAATCTTGGGGAATTCACCGCCATCTCCAGATTGACATTTTGCCAGCTGTTGCTGCCTGCAATGGACTGGAAAGGAAAATATGGCAATTTACAATCCAGAGTGATGAAAACTGTCTGGAGCGGTTACTCCCCTGGTCCTACAACATAACTGTGTACTGTTTTTGAGAAATAAAGATCTTCTTTACCTGAACTAAATATTTCTTGGGGGCTAATCTAGCCCCTTCCTTGTCGGCCACAAAGGGCCTCTTTGCAGCAGAGGTGGTGCAGTGCTACTGTGCAGATGGGGAATGGACACGTGGGGGTAAGATATGAATGGAGCAGGGGAGGGACGGTGGGAAGCCAGAATGTTTGGTACTGTGCAGTTCCTCCCATCCTCTCTACTGCTGATGGCTGGGTAAGGCCCCGTGGAGGTTATTCCATCCATATAGGGGGAGTAGTTTCCTGCATGTGGCCTATGGAAGGAAGATTCCTTCCTCCCTGCCTGCTTGTTGGCTTATCATCAGGGGCCAGGCATCAGGATCTGGATTTACGCTCTTTTAAATTTAGTACTAGTGAAAGGCTGACAGAGCCATTTCGGAGGCAGTAGGCCTTCAGTTACCCACACAATGTGCACAGCACTGGCAGTTTCCCCACACACTGCCCTCTCCATGTGTCTCGTTCCAGATCGGGACTGGCCATGCTTAGGAGAGAGAGCGTAACTCAGCATCCATACCTCATTGCCTCTCTGCTGAGGCTACCCTCAAGGGCACCAGTTGTGTTAGTGCCTTTGTGATGTGCAAAGCCTGTCTTCAAGTCACCCACTCATTGTACACAGCCCGCCACTGACAAGCCATCAGCTGGTAAAAGCATTCTGTCACTACTGACCTGTGCTGGACTTGGAGCTGTAACCTAGAGGTAAAAGGGGATGTATTCCACTGCCAGTGTCCAGAGTGGTAATATTCACCCTTCCATAGATTATTTCCTTACCTTTTCCACATAATAACTCAGTGGCTCCTTGCCTCTGGGATCTGGTTCATCCCAGGAGAGGGCCACGTAATCTTCTCTGATCTCACTCGCGTGAACATTGGTGGGTGGCAAAGGAATTTTAATCTTGCCTGTGGGAAGCAAGAATTTGATACCGGTTCAGTGATAACATACCAGGAAAGGAGTCTCCTATTAAACAGGGATATTTATGCTTTTTCAGTATCAGGTAAGCTCCTTTGGTGTAAAGGAGAGGCCTTTAACTCTTTGCATGCATTGGGGCTATATATGTGTTCATTTGGTTGTCAATGTTCTGATAATTTTTAATGATAAATTATTTCATTCTTTGCTTTCATCTTCTTGTTTAAATAAAGGGATGTAGCTGTCATCATACTCTCACTTGCTCTGGAGGTACAAAGGGCCCACTGCACTGCCTGCAGTGTCCACCTTTGAGTACATTACTTTGCCAGTGTCCCTTTCCATTACACCCAGTTTCAAAACACTAGAGGATTTTGCGGTGCACATTACCAGAACCTTGTGGTCCTTCTTAATCCTATGGCCATGTTCCTCAAGCTCTAGATACAACTTCCTCTCAGGAGTTGAACTGGTAACACAGAGTTCCAGATGGCTGTGTCTGGGCTGAATTCTAACCCTCAGCAACCTCACAATGGGTTGTCTCCACAAGTAAAATTTTCAAAAGTCCCTACATTCCATTTTCAAAAGTGAGTTAGGATCCTAAGTCCTATTGAGTTTCAATGAGACTTAGGTTCCTAAGTGCCTAAGTCACTTTTGAAAATGAGACTTACGGCCCGATTTTTAAAGGTATTTTGGTGCCTAGTGGGATTTACAAAAGCATCTGGGTGCCTAACACCATGGTTAACACTCAGTTAGGCATTGCAACACAGTGAAGAACAACGCCTAAATACCAGTAAAAATCTGGGCCTTTGTCACTTTTAAAAATGGAACTTGGGCACTTCTGAAAATTTTATCCCATAATCCTTTGCTTTTAATAAAAACTCTACACTACTTCTTAGACTGAAGTCTCTAGGCTTGACACAATCACAAGTCTAACAGTATCTAATGGCTCCATTATAAACTGGCCTTGTATTTTGGAATGCTTCCGTTGTCTTGGAGTGTAAGAAAACATTTTCCTGTGCATATTTCCTCCCAGAGTCCTATGAAGTATTATTTTGGCATCGTTGTACAATAACAAGCATTAAAAGGAGGGTTAAGTTTAAGTTTGAAATTACCTTCCAGTTCATCTTTGGAAATTGTAATCTCCTTTCCATCATCATAAGGGATGGCTAGTGATTTTAAAAAAATCAATATTATTCACAAGGAGAAAAAGCCACAAGTTTAGTGAAAAGACAGAGACAAGAATCCTGAGTTTCCCTATATGCACACAAAGCCCATAAGCTGGGGTAGTTTGGCCTTCTCCCTTTCTGTAACAGTTTGTACCAAGAGAAGTGTGACAAACTGAAAACTAATTAAAAAATTATAGGAACTTCCTTGACATTAAAAATACAAAAACAATCATTTTGAGTTAGACACATTTTAGGCCCAGATTCAGTTTACCCATTGCCACTTTTGTCTTCCCATTGCAAGCACTCCAGACAGTTAGGGGTTTGTGAGCAGAGCTTGAGCACTGTTTGGGTAAGAGAGTAACACATGGAATGATAGAGACAGACACTCAGGTGGTGTCAGTCATCCTGGTTTCATTGGCTTCCCTGGAGCTCTGATGATTTACGTCTGCCGAGGATCTACTCACAGTCTTTGCCTACCCAGTGCTGTTCACAAAGTGAAAATGGTGTTTTAGGTCAGTCTGGACCAATGACTTCAGCTCGTGATTCCAGCAGGGCTGAGGCATGTTTGCAGCATAGGGGCTGCAGTGATGTTTATGAGAATAGGGCACTTGGGATAAGTCATCCCAAGTTAGCGCCGCAGCCTCACAGAGCACATAGGGGAATAATATCCTGTTTCTGATACGTACTTATCACTCTTTTTTCCTCATTGGGGTCTTTCATTGTGACTGGGTCGCTGGCCTTGGAAGGGTTACTGATGCCTGAATGGTTGACAGCCTTTACCCGGAACTGGTATGTCTTTCCCTCTGTGAGGCACAAAACAGGGCACCTGCAGGTCTTCACGGGCATTTCATTATATGGCATCCACTCGTCTGTGCCTGCCTCGCACCTGCAATGAAGCAAGACCATGCAGTACCTCCATGGTGTTCCCCCAATGTGGCAGTGGGCCTTCTGCAGGCTATAACTTTGGTAAAGAGACTGCTCAGTGCAACAAACATATGTTTACTCACAGGACTGCAGGCTGGGTATTTGCTGCTTTATTTAACTGCATCACAACATAATTGGGGTGGGAGGAGAAAATTCTCATTGATTAAACAGGAATTGAGGAGTGGAGCAGGGTGCCATCCCATAATATTCTGGGTATCCCCAGTAACCCTATCATGACCACTTTACTACAATAACATAAGCATACAGACCTTTCAATAAAATAACCGAAGATTGGACTTCCTCCACTATCGCTGGGTGCTACCCAGGAAAGGAGCAGGCAATCTTTATTTACATCATGGCATTTCACATTGAGGGGGGATCCAGGTGCACCGGCTGTTGCTGCCGTAGCATCTAAAGGAATATAGAGCAATTCTGTTAAGCTGTTCTTTCCTGCTTGTGTTCTGAATCTTTCAGTCTCCAAACACTCTGTTGTCTACAGAGAGAGGTTGTCATTTTGTGTTCAGCTTGCTGCAGAGTGCAACAGAGGAGACACACACACTCTGAGCTCTCTCTCGTGGAGATATTCATCCTGTTCTTTCCTCCTCTTCTTATTCATTTGTATTGCAGTAGCATTTAGGGCCCCATGGTGCTAGTGCTGTACAAACTCAGAACAAAAAGATGGTTCCTGCCCCAAAGAGTTTACAATCTTATCTATACTCTTTCTTGTTTCATTGTTGTCTCTGAGCGTGTAGGGAAAACAAACTGTCTGATCTGCATGGTGAGGAAAAAATCCACATTTTAAAACTGTAGATAAATGCATTGAGCTATAAAAGGAAGACATAACTCCAGAATACAACAATGGAGGAACTTCCTATATTATACTGTGACCCTAATAAATGTACAAGGAATGGAAAATATTAGCAAATTCAATTCTGAATAATTCATATTAAGAGTAATTTCTTTTAAGATTAATAACAAGGTCAATTTTTTTTTAAGATCTTGAGAAGAACAAGAACTGACCTACTCAGGGTATAAAAAAAATAATCCAGCATCTGATCAGAGTGAAAAACATTTGTCATGCTGATAAAGCAAACAGGTCCTGCAATTAGAACTGGACAACTGTCCAGCAACCCTGACCTTGTCTTGTAAATCTGAGTAAATGGCTGTTCAGTAACTCTTGTAACTGAAAGCCCACCGTCAATTCTCTGTTTGGCCATTAAGGGCTAAACTGGGTTCCCCACATCAAATCTGAGACGTGTGGCACAGAGCACTTCTCTGAGGGAAGGAATTCGCCCAATGGGGTAATGTCGCCATATCATGATGCTTCTGCATCCCTTGTGGGGATCACTGGCAAGAGTGTTTACATAGTATTGGTGCCATCCCTGCTTTCCCCTTACCCACCCCAACCCTGCCCCCAAATCCCACTGCATAGGGGAGCTGCAGAGCTGAGCTCCATGGTATGCAGACCCCCTGCAACAGCTCCCCAAGTCCTATGCTACTTTGGTTCTGATGTTTCTTGTACCCCACATTGCTGTGGAGAAGGGGGCAGGATTTGCCCCCCAACCCCACCCCAAAAGCAAATGAAATCTATTCTCTACCTCCAGTACTGCCTAGGCCACATCTGATAATTACAGGGGGAAGGATGTTGTGTGTGGTAAACAGGTAGGCCTTTGTTTTCTGTGTTTGGCACTAAGGATTCTGCTGTCCACAGAGGCAGGCAGCCATTTAATGCTCAGTTCAGTGCAGACTGCTACAGAGGAAACACGATGGGAAGTCAACGGGATTTGTGCCTAAAATCCCAAGTGCCTAAGTCACTACTGAAAACGGGATGCAGGCACTTTTGAAATTATCACCCCTGGGTTCAAGTTGGGGGCAATGTGGGAAGGCCTTTCATTGTGAATGAGGCTGTGAATTTTCCCACCCCAATGGATCGGAAAAGGCCTTTTGCTTTAAACAGGATAGAAATCTCTAGGTACCTCTAACAAACACGTAAGCACTCTGCTCATTGTACCCGTCCAGTGTAGGGACACGGATAGTGTAGAATCCCTCGTCTTCTTTGTAAGCACACAACACGGTCAAAGAAGCCTCGCGATCCAGACACTTTATTTGCTGGCGATCGGAATCCTTCAGAAACTCGCCTGCAGGGAAATGAAAACTCAGTGGAACTCCACCTGAATGATGCCCTGTTCAGAGGGGCATGTAGCACTTGCACAGAGTGTAAAATGCTAGCAGGACGGGCACTGCAGGGGACCCTGGGCCTATGCTAACACAACACTGCTGCACAGCTAGCAAGGCCCAGATCCTTAAAGAGATTTGATTTCAATGGGAGTTAAGTGCATGAATACCTTTGAGTTGCTGAGCCCAAGTTACTTCTGCCTAGTAGTAGATCTGAGGCATTACAGGCTAAGCTCATTAGCCAGATGAGGAACAAGCTCAAACCCCTGCCTTCTGAGACGCAGTCACACTCTGGCCACATCCTTCTATTTGTTATCCTTTGCTCTTGCTGTACACCAATGCGGGAGGTTTGGGACTAACTTCTACTCAGTGCGGAGGACCCTGAGCCAGAGGAGTAAGTCCATTCACTCTCAGTAAATAGCAGGCATTTGTCCTGAGGGCCACAAGGAGCCATGACACATAGTAACAGTAGCTAGCACTTTTCATGAGCAGATCACACACTGTCATACAAAGGAGCTTGGTACCCTCATTTTACATATAGGGAAACTGAGGCACAGAGCAGGGAAATGACTTGCCCAAGGTCACCCAACAGGCCAGTGGCAGAGCCAGGCTTAGAATCCGTGCACAAATGTACACCCAAGCTTTGGGAGAGTTCAGATATGGATCTAAACTCTGTGATCCAGGCCCATCTCTAGAACACAGCGCAGTCTGCTGCTTGCACAGCTGATTCTAGCAGGCCTACTTGTAAAACAAAGGCAGTCTTACTGTGTTGCTCCTGGAATAGGTGCAGCCTCCCACAGTTTAAAGGCACAGAGGCAATTCGCATCCTGGCAAAGACCAGTGTCCTTGATTTTGCCTCTCTGTTTGTAACCTACCCTCCTACGGGCTGTCTGGGAGGCCTACCTTTTACTTCATTCGCCAGTGTCTCCTCTGGCTTTACAGGAATATAATAGCAACATTTTGCACTTCCACTGTGTAGAACCAAGGTTCCTAACAACTCTTTATAAACATGAATTAATTAAGGCTCATGTCACCCCACGAAGCAGGTCTGTATTCTTATCCTTGTTTTACAGATGAAGAAATGGAGGCTCAAGTTAAGGGACATGCCAGAACTGGGGCAGAACTGGGAACAGAACCCAGGAATCCTGGCATCCAGTTCTCTTCTGCAAGCACTAGACCAGAGCTTATAGGGGGAAAGCAGTCGTACCAAAGAAAGCTATGTGGATATGAATACACACCGTCTCTGAACCAGGTGATATCTCGTTGGTGTTGAAGTAGATCAGAAGAAAAGAAGCAGGAAAGGGTAAAAGGTTCCTTCTCTCTGGAGAATAGGGGCTTCAGTGAAAAGGCAAAATCTGCCTCCTGGCCAATGAGTGATCCTATGAAACAAGAGCAAAACCATGCAGCCATGATTAAGGCTACAGTTTTGTCACGGAGGTCACGATGGTCACAGAAATCGTGAATTTGAGTCAAACTGAGTGGTGTTGTAACCTAGCGCTCAGGGTTGCAGCGCCACTCAGATTTGGTCCTTCTGCCCCTCTGTCTCCTGAGAGGTGGATGAACCAAACCTGAGTGGCGCTGCGACCCCATGTGCCGGTCTCAAAGCCCAGCACGGGGAGCTGGCCCCAGCTCTGTGGAACAGGAGCTGCTGTTTTGGGGTGAGTGCGGGACTCCTCATTCTGTAATTCCCACCCTGCTTTCAGAACATAAGAATGGCCATACTAAATCAGATCAAAGGTCCATCTAGCCCCGTATCCTGTCTTCCGACGGCGGCCAATGCCAGGTGCTTCAGAGGGAATGAACAGAACAGGTCATCATCAAGTGATCCATCCCTTGTTGCCCATTCCCAACTTCTGACAAACAGAGGCTTAGGACACCAGAGTCTTATCGGTTTTTCCCCACACCTCTGCTGTGAAATTTACTAAAAGTTTCCAAGCCCAAATTACAGCCCTAGTCACGATAAAAACAAGAGGCTCCTCGGTTCGTGTCATTATTGTGGTCATTCATCTAGTGCCATAGGTATGTGTAGTGCTTTTCATAAACATCAGGCTACTGGGAAGAGGGACACCTTGTCTGAATCTGTGCCGGGGGCCTCGGCCCATACATAAAAACTCAGCAACAATAATTTACTCACTTTTGTATATTTCTGAATCGAATCCTGACTCTTTCCCATAATATTCTGCAAAAGAAGGGGGAGGGGATGGGAGGAATAAACACATTTAACAAATTTATGTTTCAATATTTATCTTCCTCTTAATAATATGCAATGATACTTAACTCTTATGTATTGTATCACTTCTTCGAAATATGGTCCACTACAAACATTAAATATTAGCCTTCAAAACACACCTGGGTGGTGACTTCTTCAAGCAGGAACACTTTCCAATGCAGAGCCTTTTACTAGCTTAACAAACTGATAAGGATCACTTCACCCATAAGTGAAATGCAGCCACCCCTGGGGCAGAGCCTGGCATCTACTCAACACCACATGGCAACACTATGCAACAACACAGGAATGGAAGGGAAGAAGAATATTCTGTTGAAAGTGCTGGGGAGATTTAGGACAGCAGAACATATTAGTTACTGAAGCTGGAATATGGCCTGGACACCGAGGTTAAGCTGCCGTACCACTACAGAAAACGATATGGGATCTTTAGTGACCACATATGCCTGGACCTCAGGTTTGTGACTCATCCCAAAGACAGCATGTCCAGAAGTACAGAATATTCCAAGACATGGGCTCACTACTGGCTCAGAGGGAAAAGTGTCATACACTGAATCACCAGCAGCGCTTATTGCGGCACCTACGTGTTTCTTGGAGGTCTCTCCCATGAAAACAACAATCCTAGCCAAACCTTGCAAACTGCTGGGATCACAGAACAAAGTCTAGTGGCTTTGAGCTTAATGCAACGTAATCCCGCAGCTGAAGGAACTGAAGAATTCCAAAACAAGATGAAAATGATTGTGTTTCTTAAACCTCTCATCCTAAATAAATGCATATAAGAATTGATCACATTAATTCTTTCTCAGTAGCCAGTACATGGCAATTAAAATGGATGGAAATCAGGAATCTCAGACCGGGACATTCTGATATCTTTTCCAGAAGTGATTTTCTGTTGCTGTGATGAAAGGGAAGGCAGACAAAACTTTGCACTGCTATGGGGAAATCCCACATTCAGAAGTAGCCTCTCACTTGTTGTTTCCATCTGTCCTGGGCCACAATGAATCATGAAGGTGGCACGCTTTGAGCGTGGCATGAGGAGTGGGGAAGGGAAAGCATTGCTTTAAGGGCATACCTGCTGGCCAGGTAGAAAGGATGGTCCTAAATGAATGAAGCCATGTGATAGCATTATACAGTCATAGGCAGAAGATGGTGAATGGGTGGCAATGACTAAAGAGGGGAGTCATGGAGAACATTAAAGGGACATGCTGGGTTCATCAAGGATAACAAAGAACCCCAAAATATCATTGATAGGCAGGGCAGCCCCACTAACCTAGAGAGCCGTTTGGGCTTGGGACCGCCTAAGACATCAAAGGTATGTCAGGCAATGCAGGGGCCAAGAGAACGACTGCCAATGGCCTTCTTAGTGGGACATGGAGAACTTCCAGGCCAAGCCCTATGGCTTTGCTTTGGATTCTGTTTTCAGACTGTTAAACACAAATAGCAAAAGGAAGGGGCATGTTACCAGGACGGCATCAGGCAGGGTCAGGGGAGAAGGAACAACGCAGGCCTGCCAACAGCAAATGTAAGAAGCAATATTTGGAAGTGCCAATAGCATAGAGTTCTGCTCCGACCAGAGACTTCATAAAGGAGAATTTGATCTGGTACTAAGTGGTGCTAGGACAGCTGTCTCCTCCAAGGAGGTTTTCTATAATAGATTCATAGATTCCAAGGCCAGAAGGGACCCTTGTGATCAGCTAGTCTGACCTCCTGTATAACATGGGCCACAGAACTCCTCCAAAATAATTCCTAGCACAGATCTTTTAGAAAAACATCCCCCAACCCTTGGTAAATTGTTCCAATAGTTAGTTACCCTCACTGTTAAAAGTTTACACCTTATTTCCAATCTGAATTTGTCTAGCTTCAGCTTCCAGCCATTGGATTGTGCTATATCTTTCTCTGCTAGACCGAAGACCCCATTATTAAATATTTGTTCCCCATGTAAGTACTTTTAGACTATGATCAAGTCACCCCGAACCTTCTCTTTGTTAAATTAAATAGATTGCGCTCCTTCAATCTATCACTACAAGGCAGGTTTTCTAGTCCTTTAATTTTTCTCATGGCTCTTCTCTGAACCTTCTTCACATTTTCTGACTGTTGTTTAACATCCTCTTGAGATACTAGTGGAATGGAAAGAGTGATAGAATTGTGGTGTATTGAAAATCGTGTTACAGTTATAAGCTATCACTTTAATTCTCATGGGTTTCAGGGGCTCTGTAGGAAGTGTGCAATCTGGGTTTTTCAGCAGTCAGTCTGCAAAGAACCAGCCTAGAGGAAGGTGCAGTGAGTTGTGCCTCAATCTCTGGAGCAGCCTGCTTTCTCTATGCTTGTTTTTGGTTCTTGCGTGTTAGTATTCTGGATTTTAAGAAATAAAGTCATGTTTAAATTGCAACCTTTTAGACAGAGCATTTTATGTTTTTATCTAATTTTTCTGTTTGTATGCTGTGAACATAACAAGAATCATTTGCCTTGTTCTGTTGTCACACCTGTTTTTTTTTTTTCCTCACAAGCAGGGTTTGAAAAGAGTGATTGGGAGAGAGAACGAGGGCGGGTACTCTGTGACCTTTCTCGTGCATGTTATTCAGACCACCCTACTTCTGCTTCTCTCCTTTGGAAGCAGTGGAAAGTGTATTTTCCAGTGCTGTGTGCTGCTTGTTTTCATGCCACTTCATCTATCAGCACCAAGTCAGTTTCATGCCCCTTGCGGAATTTATTGCCAATTCAGGGCAGTAAATCAAGCCAGTTGGAATGTATCCAATCGCTCATGGAAGGATCTTGTTTCTGCTGTCTTTTCCCAGGATCTATTCATAGTTTTAAGCTCCTGATTCTTAGAGATATATGGCCTGATTTTCCAAGGCACAGAGACACTAAAGTCAATTGGATCTGTGGCTACTCTCACTACCTCTGAAAACCAGGCTAACACAATAAGTCATATAAATACTGCAGTGTGGAATTCCTTCACCATGACAGCCAAACTTTCACTCACACGTTTCCTGCCTGGACTGCCCAATAAATTGTTCTTTATTGCTTTCTTAGCTGCAAATAAATGCCACCATCCAATAGACTTTGCACACTGAAGCCCATGTGGTTCCATTGCTTAGCTTTCGGGAGTTCACCTTTGCTCTGTTTGGATGGTGCAATGTACAAGAGTTCTTGGCAGAAAATCATGCTGTTATGTGTGCTTTTGATTTGCACCCCCGGGGGGCAGATGAGAGAACAAACAACATGTGACAGATGGTAGCCACATTGCTTAATGGAAGGGGCTTAGTTACTACAGTGATGAGCCTGCTATAAGAACCCAATAGTATGGAATAGTTGTACACCCCCGAGCTTTTTACATACTTCCTGCATTAGGATAAGAATTATCCAGGCTGGTCCGCCATGCAAACTAAGGGCTGCCATTGTTATTATAAGTAGAGTTGGGTGAATACCAGCAAACTGAAAAATTTGTTAATTCAAAAAAAAAAATGGTTTTGGGTCAAACCGAAAACATTTATCCAATTTTTCTGCAAATCAGAAAGTCGAAAAAAAGATTAATTTCAAGTTGAACAAAATGTTTCATTTCAGTTCCAAGCACTTTAAAAATGTTTTTGATGGTTTGAATAAAAAAAGCAAAGGAAATTGTGAAACAGAAAGTACTTTTGCACCAAAATATGGAAATGTTTGGATTATTTTAGGGGGTTTTATCACCAAATCAATTTGGTGAAATTGACACAAATTTGCAAAACATTTTGGTGTTGCCAAATCTGCTTTTTTTGCTCCCCCACCCCCACAAAAAGCTTTGTGCATAACATTTTGCCCGGTTCTAATTATAAGTGAATATCTGTCTGCAACTGGAGTGTGTATGTGCATGTGTGTATGTGCGTGCGTGCTGATTCTGACTCACGTAGGGCACTATTTAACAACAGATTTTAAAGATAGCATAAACAAAACATGACCCTTAAAATTCTTTGGGCACATTCTGTTCTTGTGAAAGCTGAGTCTACAAAGGAGATCCAGATTTTATCAGTGCACAACATGCAAAGAAAAGGAATGGTGATAACATGGCCGAGGATGGAGTAGAGAATTTTTTGAATCATATATACTTTTATAAGACCCAGCTTTCTGAGTAATCGACCAAGCTGGCTTTTGCATCTCACATTGCCACAGAAGCTCATCTCTCTCATACCAATAAGACCTTTGAAGCAGTCGGTTCACCTCCTATTCCAGAATGGTATCGGTTCCCATCTCTGTTATTCTATTGCCCATGTCAGTCTCACTGAGCATGTTTAGCTGTCTATAGTTCTGTAGGTCTATTCCAGTCCAGGTTTTTATGACAGCATTGTTTTATATATAGATTAGAAATGTCAAGGTCTAAACAATGACCCCATGAGATGCCATTGCATATTCCCTAGAGCGTGGCATAATTTCCCTTTGTAAGTACCAGCACTTTATTTCCAGTTGTTTCCCCATGCATCTGGCTTTAGCTTGGGCAGAATCTTGCTGTATATTTGTCTTGCTATAAAGGAATTCATAAAAAGGGTCCATGCAGCTTATCTTGGGATGACAACAGATACAGGGAGAGGAGAGCCCTGAATGCTCTTCTGTTGGGTTACACTCGGCAACGAGAACTGTGTGTTCTGTGAAGCTCTGCCTGGAGAGAGATCTGGGAAAAACAGTGCTCTCAAACTGACATTCAGAAAAAACAACTAGATCCTCCACAGACCTGCTGTACTTTGAACTGCAGGGCGTGGTAGTATCACTGCAGAAGGGATCAGCAGCCAGACACAGCACACCTTCACTGCAGTGGTGTTAGTCCACTTCAGGGCTAAATTCTGGGCTGTGTCCAGAAAGGGTCTGAAAGATTTTAGCTGAGTCTAGAGGGGCCACAAGGGACTGAGGCAGAGTAGCCATCTTTGAGGTGTATCTGGGCAGGCCCTGAGGGAGAGGGCCTGACAGGCTCTGACAGAAAGGGTGTGAGGGAGAGATTTGGCCTGAGTCCAGTGGCCTGACTGGGAAGCCAGTTCCATAGCGACTGCTGATGTAGGAAGCACTGATTCTCTGTTGTGGTCTCCAGGGTATTGCACTAAGCTGCTACAAAACAGCATTTCAGAAATTAAACAAGGGCACCCAGAGAATCGTGGCAGTGGCCCTTGCCTGGATCCTGCCAACAAGAAGTCCCTATGGCCCAGATTGACAGCAGTCTAAAGGACTGGGGGATGAGAATGGGACCCTGACTCAGAACAGCCAGGAACTTCAGGCTTCCACCCAAAGGCTACTGCAGAGGCAGAAGGGGAAAGAATGGTGACAGTCAGACATAGGCTAAGCTAGATCCCTGGGTTATAAATACTGGGTCTCATTGTAACATGAGTCCAGCCATTTTGATTTCTGTTTGTTTAAACAGAACACACTCTAGTTAAAATCTTTTTAACTCAACTCCTGACAACAGCAAACACCAGGAGAAGAGCTCTTTCAAAGAAGGGCTATTGCTGTTAGACCACACAAGCTGACCCTGACCATTTGCATGAAACTCCACTAGACAAACTTCCATGCCTCTAACCAAAGTGATCTCACTCCCTGCTTTAAATAAGAGAGGAAATAAAACCATGAAGAAAAACAATCTGTAGGTAGAGTGTTATAATAAAGAAAAAGTGTGTATGGAAATAAGCTGCTAGCAACTCTGCTTTGCACATGTTACGACTTAGACTAGGGAGGGATAGGTTAGTGGCAAGTCAAATGAGTACGAACTAAGGCTCAGATCCTCAAAGGTATTTTGATTTCACTGGAAGGTAGGAGACCTAAATATCTTTGCGGCTCAGGGCCTAAAATTTTGTGCATAAGAAAAGTTAATCTGATATGGATTTTCTTTCTGAGGTTTGTAGTTAATTTACCAACAACCTTTCTGATGGGTTGGCTATTTGTCTCTGTAATGACAACAGAAATTGTTTTATGGACAGTTTACCATGGAAAACATATTGATTGATGCTTTTTAAATATATTTTTTAAATCCAATTGTTCTTCCCTCCTACCTCTCCCCGCATCTCGAAGGCTTAGCTAGACAACCCACTGCATCCCCTTGTTCATGTGTATGTGGTTAATACAGTAATTTCTTTTAACGAAAACAAATAGAAGAATCCATAAAAAATGTTTAAAAGGAAACTTACTCTGGACAAGCACCGTAGCAAATGAATAGGCCTCACCATATGGATTTTTAACTTCGACACTGTATTCAGCAGAGTCTTCCAAGGAGCATCTGTAAGAAATGGTTTGTTTTTCCTTTTAAGTTTCAGTCTTTGATGCTTCCGCTCGAGGGTTAACTCTGAGCAGTGCATGTCAATAGGGGTTGGTCTTTAAGACCAAAAGTTAAAAGAGAAGTCTTGTTTTTTGCCAAGTCTTTTTTGGAATGCAGGAGTCGGGCATTATTGACACTTAGAAGTCAAATAATAGAATTATAGAATATCAGGGTTGGAAGGGACCTCAGGAGGTCATCCTGCTCAATATATTGTTCTTTTGATATACAAGGAATTATGTACATAAGGTGAGATTCTCAGAATAAGGGCCTATGCATCACATTAATTCCACTGAAGACCTGGCCTTATATATATTACACATATATCTTGCAGCCTTTTTGTTTCTGTAGAAAGGTATCAGTCCATCCAGATTTGTACAGTGCCCTGAGTACACTTAATGCCAAAATGATGAGGTATCCCTAATGTACTGTAGGAAACAAAGTAGAGTAATGAGGATCTGCAATAGATCATAGAGATTTTGCATCTACCTCCATTTATACAGGTTCAAACAAAATAAAATAATATTTAAAGCCCAATGAGCTATTAGAAGTGTTGGGTCAACCTCACAATGGGCAGAGATTTGGTCCAGGTAAGTTCCTAGAGCCCTGGAGCAAGGCAGTGGAGAATCAGACTCCAGATGCATTTCCAGTCCTCCTCCAGCCCTCTTTGTTCTACAGAACTGGCCTGGGAATCTCAGCAGACCAGGCCTTGCTGCTAATGAAGAAGGAGCTAAGCAGAAGGTCTGTACATTACCTATTGATGTCTAATGTGAGCATGCCAAACTTGTTCTGGATCCTGTATTTCCCTGCTGGAGCCAGTCGGGGATCAATACGGACTCCATTTTTATACCTAGTTGAATATAAAATGACACACTGTTCAAGAGGGATGATCTAGTTTAGATGAAAATTAATGGGTATATTTAACAGCTTGTTTTCAAAGTAACACCATCAGCCACATATATTCCATGGGACACAGCAGAACAGGGGAGTGGACAGCTGGTCACAGCTCTCTGATTCTCTGCCCCAGCACAAGTTAGAGCAGTCTCAGGGCTGCTTTACCTTGTTCCACCTGGCTATGGTTGCCTAAGGACCAAAAAAGCTGGAGATTGCCAGAGTGCATCACTCTCCAACCACTCCACCTGCTCGCTGCTTCCTACCTCATTTGTTTCCCCCCGCCCTCGCTCTGGCGGTTGCAGGAAGGGAGGTATAGGAGCTGGCTTTTTTGGTTCTGACTACTGCAGACATCTGGCTCCCTTTGCACTGCTGGAAAGGTGCAAAGGGACCAGAGTAGGGAAGTTAATCTGCCCCCAAAGCCCATCTGAAACTTTGACAGTAGAGGAGATTTTCCCCTAGTAAAGTCATTGAAATTAATGTTTGACTATTTCAGGCATTTTCATTTGAGGACAATCAATTTGACTGTCAAACTGAGCAAGGACCTTGGTGCACAATGTGTGAAATGTTATTCTTGGCCTCCTTGTTGTTTCTGCCCGGCTGTTGTTAACAGTAACTTCTGCAGACAATCCCAAGAGATCTCAACAACATTTTCCATCCTGTGAGTTTGTAACTAAGCAAAGCTCAGTAAACAGAAAAGAGTCACTTCATATTTCTCAAATTTTAGGGGCCAGGGCCGTTTAATCCCAAGGCACGTACGGTATCCTGACTGTTAGTCCAGCCCTGATGGCGAATGTCCAGTGTGTCTGCACCTGTCTAGTGCATTGGAGAAATAGTCTCGTCGGCTCTAAGATGCTGGCCAATGACTAAGATTCATGAGCACAAGCTGGAGATGGGGGGGCTTTAGCACAATGGCCACTCTCCAAAGCTAAGTTCGGTATTGGTACATAGGTGACACTGCTCTGACAGCTGAGATAACTCTGGAGGGAGTGAATCAAAGAGGTCACATTCTGAAAAAGTTTGTATGGAACCGTCTTTAAGAGCAAATGTAAAGCCTGTTCATAAACCTCCCTGAAGCTTGTAACGGGCTAGAGGAATTGAGTCAGTTCCACCAATGTACAATTCTTCTTGTTTAGTTTGCTTATTTGTGTAACTCGAATAGCTCTAGACGTGGATTGTAAGCTCTTTGGGGCAGGGACTTGTTCTGTGCTTGTACGGTGCCCAGCACAGTGGGACCCTGGTCCATGATTGGGGTTCCTAAGTGCTACTACAATACAAATAAATAATAAAATAACATTGCCTCATTTAGGCATCTCTGGAGTGCTCAGTCCTACACTCTGCATTGGATACAAGGGTTTACTACAGTTTATGGGAAGACTATAATGTAAACTAAAAAGGCCATCTCCTCCTTTGAGTAGCAGCCTATTTGTAGAAGTCTCCTGTTCTCTCCCCTCTAGCAAACCTCCCCCCCAGGTCAAAATAAAAGCAAGGATGACGTCCAGACCAGAAGGAAGATTAGAAACAACAGCTCCTAAACTGGAACATACTAGGAGTTTCTTGAAATATTTTGTGTCATCCTTTTCTACAGATGGGTAAATAAATAAATAATCCCTGATCAGAGTCAACAGAAGCATCCCGTCTATACAGCAACAACACCCCTGCTTGGAAGAAACATACCTCTTATCATTGCTTACTCTGGAACAGCTGATTTTCTGCCACCATCACACTGAAATGCTACGTGGACTGTATATATCTGGGCTAAATCAACAACTAATTTGTCCCACCGAGATAAGATATTTGCTAATGGGCATGAGCCACAGAGTTTTGGATCCAGATTCAGTACTCCCCAGAGTTTGAGGGTGTTGGTCTCTGAGGTTTTGGGCTGGTTTAATCTCTGCCAAAGAACCTAGACTTTTGGGACTTAGCCTGACCACTGTCAAACTTGTTAGAGAGAGATATCATAAATTATTTTAAGAGACTGCAGGAGGGCTTCCTCTAAGTATCAAAATCTGTTTGTGCTGGGGGCTCATTTACTTCTGGTCTGAGGCCAAATCGAAAGCTTTAGGGAGTAGTCTTGTTATTATGTAATACGTTCTAGTACACAACTATAAAGGGCCTCAGAGTCTTCCCTAGCTCGGCTCAGAACTTCTCTGTAACACGCTGTGTTTGAACAGGTGTAGGTGGTGCAGCAGCAGCATGGGAGAAAGGGCGAGACCTTTCCTTCTATTCCAGAGGAGGGAGAAGGAAATGTTCTTTCGTTTTCTGGTGAGAGCTTCCACATGGAAATCAGAAAAGGGTATAACCAGGTGGGAAGGAGGATCAGAATCAGGCCCTTTTGAAACAAATGAGCATTCCACAACTGCCTATTTGCAGACACCAGAGTCTGGGGTAACAGGTTTTCCTGCTCCTCTCCAGTGCTCATACATACCTCCTCATACCCAGGCACCTCCAAACTCAGAACGCATACAGAGATACATAGGCAACTGCCCCTGCACATGCACATGCCTGTGTCCTGAGCCTGATATCATTTACACTGGCATTTATCAGGAGTAATTTCACTGAAGTCCCTGGAATTACATATGTAAGCCTCGCTTGCTGAGTGTAGCCCTGTCTCCCTGTAATGGATGAACCATGCTGAGATTCTTATAGCTCAGGCAGTAGACTAGAGGCTCACGCTTTTAGGTCCATAAGTCCTGGGTTCTATCCACACTGCTGACAACACAGTCAGAGGTGCTGGGTTATACACTGGTGAGAGTTCAATATCAAGCATTCATCAACTGCTGAGACTTCATTTCCAGGATTGTGGTCTCTGATAAGAGCTGTGTCAGAAAGGCCACAATGGGTGTAGGCAACAGGCCTGAGCTGACATCCATTGGAGCCAAATGGCAAAGCTCCCATTTGCTTTAGCAGTGCAGAATCTGGACCCATACGGGCCTGATGCTTACTTACACTAAGGCCCCTTACATCAGTTTGGCATCGATAAATAAGAGAGGACTGGCTCTTCTGCCTTTACTTTGAGAATGTGAAACATTGGTTAAAAGAAAAGGAGTACTTGTGGCACCTTAGAGACTACCCAATTTATTTGAGCATAAGCTTTCGTAAGCTACAGCTCACTTCATCGGATGCATACTGTGGAAAATACAGAAGATGTTTTTATACACACAAACCATGAAAAAATGGGTGTTTATCACTACAAAAGGTTTTCTCTCCCCCCACCCTACTCTCGTGCTGGTAATAGCTTATCTAAAGTGATCACTCTCCTTACAATGTGTATGATAATCAAGGTGGGCCATTTCCAGCACAAATCCAGGTTTCCCCCCCCCCCCCCCAAACCCACTCTCCTGTTGGTAATAGCTTATCTAAAGTGATCCATAAACCAGTCGGAGAACACTTCAATCTCTCTGGTCACGCGATTACAGACATGAAAGTTGCGATATTACAACAGAAAAACTTCAAAACCAGACTCCAGCGAGAGACTGTTGAATTGGAATTCATTTGCAAATTGGATACAATTAACTTAGGCTTGAATAAAGACTGGGAGTGGCTAAGTCATTATGCAAGGTAACCTATTTCCCCTTGTTTTTTCCTACCACACCCCCCTCCCTCCCCTACCCCCGTTCCTCAGACGTTCTTGTTAAACCCTGGATTTGTGCTGGAAATGGCCCATCTTGATTATCATACACATTGTAAGGAGAGTGATCACTTTAGATAAGCTATTACCAACAGGAGAATGGGGTGGGGGGAGAGAAAACCTTTTGTAGTGATAAACACCCATTTTTTCATGGTTTGTGTGTATAAAAACATCTTCTGTATTTTCCACAGTATGCATCCAATGAAGTGAGCTGTAGCTCACGAAAGCTTATGCTCAAATAAATTGGTTAGTCTCTAAGGTACCACAAGTACTCCTTTTCTTTTTGCTTACAGACTAACACGGCTGAAACCAAATATTGGTTAGTCTCGCTTATAGCCCAGGAGAATTCTCTCCCTGGGGTGGGACTAGGGTTGCCAGGTGTCCAGTTTTTGACCGGAACACCCGGTCAAAAAGGGACCCTGGCGGCTCCAGTCAGCACTGCTGACGGGCTGTCAAAAGTCCGGTTGGCAGCGCAGGTAGGCTCCCTACCTGGCTCTGTGTGACTCCCGGGAAGCTGCCGGCATCTCCGTGGCCAATGGGAGCTGAGGGAGTGGTGTCTGCCGGTGGGTCTTTCTGGAGTCTAGTTTACCCAGAGAGGCCATTAGGATCAAATAAAACCTCCACTGAATTGTCAATATATTTCCCCCCCTGTCATTTGTTGAGTGAATCTGGAGCTGGAGGGAGCAGCGAGTTTGATAGCCCTGGCGGGTTTGGTCTTCTGCTTATGCACAGAATCGATACAGCAGCAGGGCAAGTTCTCCATGCCTCATGTCATTGATATGTGAATCAGCCCTGCCTCAGACAGCTCTGTGGGACAAAAACCACAACCGTTCTCTCTCTCCGGGGCCCATTGGATCCTGCGCTTCTCTGCTGAGACTGCCTATCAGAGAGCAGTTTCTACTGACTGTGCAGATGTTTTCAGACCTGGACACCTTGTTCTGTGGGAGCCGCCCATTTCACAGAGCGTCACCAGACAGTAACAACTCCCAGCCAATCGGGGAGGGTATTTGAAGCACTGACCCAGAAGGGAAAGTGTTTTCTGTATTTTCCGAACACCGTGTTCCCCTTCCCCCCACCCTTTTAGAGCTTTCTAACAAGACACAGCTGCTCCGCTCCTGTTTGCCCCTCAAAGTGCATACATGCTTTGTATCCACAAGGTCAGCTCCAGTCATCGCCCCCAACTCACGCACCAGGTGACCTGCGGTGGAGGGGAAGCCAGAATGATACATGTAAGCTTCACCCCCATTCTCTCCCAGACTGCATGAACTCTGAGTGGGATCCAGATCAAGGGGGGCCGGCTTGAAAGCAGCTCGATGTACTCCTTCTCCCGCTGGGCCTTCTCTAGAGCCTAGGGCAAGGATTGAATGGACAAGGACAACAGGATTATGTTCTAACGATGCAGGTTCTTTTGAAGAAGAGGCACGTGTAAATGGCAACAGCCTTCTCCCATTGCAAAACGGCAGGCTGCTCCCACCCAGCAGAGATCTTGGCTCTGAAGTTGATTGGAGTGGTTGTCAAAACAGAGCTGCACACCACTTTCATAGCTTCACGAGGGTGAAAGTTTCCAACCCCAACACTGGTGGCCTTCTGTTAACAAGCTGAGAACAAACTGTCCCAGAAGAGACACTTTCTTGAAGGGGCATGCAACTTCTGAAAGCTTTTCTCCTTGCTGGATTTAGTGACAGTAAAGAAATAAGGGCCCAATCCTCAGCTGGAGTAGCTCAGCGTTACTCTGTTCATTTCAAAGGGCTGTCACTAAGTTACACCAGCTGAGGATCTTACCCTGGCTCTACTGGAGTGACAGCAGGTGGAGAGAAACCTCAAAGCTTGCTTTTTGGGCAGCTACTTAGCCCCTTAATGTTAGAGAACTGTGGGGATCTGTTAACTCCAAAGACAGTGTCACTGGTGGAAATGGCAAGGAAAGACAGGGCTATGTTTTTCACTCCATTACCCACACAGTGATTGCTTTGCTGGAGTGCCTGGTATGGATGTGGTGGCTGTATGAATGGTGCTGGCCTCAGCCAGCTTTATAGTATTTTAACCTGGGTGGAATGAAAAGTAGGTAGTTTCTGGGGTAGATTTTGAAACACTCATCACTTGTAAGAAAATAGCCAGAAATTCCCCCTCTTAGGACCATGAGGTTACCAGCCTGGATCAGACCCATGGTCCATCTAGCCCAGTGTCCTGTCTCGGACAGTGGCCAGCCCTGGCTGCTTCACAGGAAGGTGTAGGAACCCCTTCGCGACAGATGTTGGTAATCTGCCTCTACATTCGGGTTATGTCTACGCTACAAATTACTTCGGTATAACTTACATCACACAGGGGTATGAATAATCTCCACCTCTGAGCGATGTAGTTATATCGACCTAAGTGCTGGTGTAGACAGTGCTATGTCAGAGGGAGAACTTTTCCCACTAATTTAGCTACTGCCTCTCATGGAGGGAGGAGTTATTAAGCCGACAGGAGAGCTCTCTCCTGTCGGCTTAGAGCGTCTTCACCAGAAACATGGCAGCTGCACTGCTGCAAATGCTGTAGTGTGGACATAAGCTAGGTCTCAGCCTGATCTCCAGTAGCTAGAGATCAACTTAAACCCTGAAGCAAGAGGTTTAATATCCCTTCCACATAATGCTTGCTAGCATTAATTGTTATAACTCTGGATATTCTTGCAATCCCTTTGCGACTCTGACCTTCTTGCGAAAGGCCTTCCGATCAGCCTTCACGCGCAGGAGCCTGCAGTTCCTAATGACCGCCTTCTCCAGCTTTTCCATTTCATTCCCAAACCGGACTCTCTTCTGACCCCGCTTCTCCAGCTCTATGATGGTAGCTTCTCTCCTCAGCTTGAATTCCCTGCAACAGCCAATGTTAATAAAACAGCCACAACTGGTGAAGTCCTTTGTGAGTTTTCATTGCACACACGCCGGGCTAAATCTATGCAGGTCTATAAGGAAGGACACTCTGGTACCCACTCAGCAGTGGGCATGGATGGGATATTGCTATCTTAAACACTAGAAGCCAGACAGTGCTGGCATGATGGGTTGTTATACACCGTGGCACTAGGAGGATGAGGGTTAAGAGTCGTGTGTAGTGTCCCATAGAAATTCCCTATTGCGGTCTCTGGAGCTGTGGTTCTCTCTGGCTCCCAGACTAACTAAGACTATGCTGCCTACTCTCCTCTAAGTCCTGGCCTGGAGCAGCCAGCTCTAGGAGCGGCTGCTAACTGCACTGCAGAGTGGGCTCAGGAATAAGGGCACAGCTAGCCTCAAATCCAGTACGTATTTATTCTGCCACCTGCAGCAACAGATTTCCATTAGCAATGAGTGTTTTGTGCTTGAAGACAGCAAGTGACAAGCACCCCGACCTGGAGCAAAGTGGGTCCAAAATGTTCCGACAGAACAGATTTCCTTCGGAAAATGCTGATTCAATGAAATCAAAAGGTTTCATGGGCACATCCTGACGGTGTTGAATTTTCAGCGGACAATTATTGAAACATTTTGTTTTGAGAAGGCTGAAACATTTAACTTAGATGTTATTGTTTGGACTATTCATATTGTGACATATTGTCTGAGCAGAAATGGTAAAGTCCAAACCAAACATTTTTACCCTATAGCAACAAAACATATCAGAATATTTCGTTTTGTGAAAAAATCTGAAATTTTGACCTTTTGTCTCAATTTGGGCTGCAGCACGGGACAGAAATTGTGTTTTTCAACTAGCTGTGCCCTGGGGGTGCTTTGAGCTTGCCTATTGTATGGTACTTTGCCTACTAATGACATGGATTCCCTTCCACTGGCTGGATCTGGCAGCGAATATACTGAAGCTTCACATCTTCAGAACCCTTTGCAAACATCCACGGATTAACCCTCACCACCTCTTGGGTGGCTAGTAACTGTTAACCCTATTGTAGAATGGGGAAGCTGAGGCACAGAACAGCTGAGTAACTTCCCCATGGCTACATAGAAAACAAGTCGAATTAGAAGCCAGGAGTTTCTGGCTTCTGGTCTTGAGTCAAGTAGCCCAAGCAGCTGCTCTGGCTCTATCCTGCAGCCCTTGCTTTTCTGACTTTCTGGTATGTTGCTAGGATTTGTCCCATAGTGCTTCCTTTCCAATGAGAACTTTGGAGATAAAGATCCTTTCTCAAACTTACTTTTACTTGCCAGGATGGAAAAATGAATGGGGTGTATAGAGAAACATGAATACACCAAGAATTTAGGAACCTGAGGCTAGGTCCTGCACCCGGTGGAAGTCACTGAGAGTTTTGCCATTAATCTCACTGAGAGAAGGAATGGGCCGCAGGTCTCTTAAAAATTCACCCAGGCATTATGAAAGCTGTACAATGTGTCTCTTGATCCTATGGGTCCATCTCATAGCACTCTGCACCTCCCAACAAGGATCTCCAAATGCTTTTGCATGCATGCATGCATTGATTAATTAGACCTCACATCTCCCCTGGGAGATAGAGGAGGATTGTTATCATCAGTTTTGGGATGGGAAACAGAGGCAGGGAGAAGTGAAGTGAAATTGTCTGAGGTCATGCAGTCACTTACAGAGCTGGGGATAGAACCAAACAGCATTGGCTCCCGGGCTCTAACTACAAGACACTATACCATATCCACAAATTGCCTTGCCCGGGTAAATCTATGGTAGTAACATTACAAGGTCTATTATTGGTTCAAATTAAGAATTATTGTGAATCTGTGCATCTTCTAGGTACATGTGATCTAAATCTAGCCCACTCTATACAACCACAGTAGCAATATTCATGTCAGACCTACCATGATACTTCTGAGGTCAAGGCGAGGGCAGCTGCTATGGATAATTCTGAAACGGTGAAAGTCTCTTCTTCCTCACTTCAGGTGGCAGATACAGAAAAATAATTCAGATCATGTTGAATAGACTCATAAAGAAAATGATCCCTGGACCTGTACATGTCCAGCAGCAAGGGTCACATTTCCAAAAGTGCCTGACTTAGGAACCTAAGTCCCATTTTAAAAAGTGACTTAGGCTCCTAAATACCTTTGAGGATCTGGGTCTTAGAAGCCTCATTGGAAGTCAATGAGAATTAGGCTCCTAGGCACCTAAGTCACTTTTGGAAATGTTACCTCAGTCTACTTTGCTTGGCCCATTAGACCATCCAACCATAGCCATCTTATGGAAATCACTTTCAGCCATGACTAATCTGGGCTGGATTTACAGCAGTGAATGAAAAGAGAAAGGGCCCCAGGCCCAGCTACTCATAGGCATTTAGGCCCCTAGCTCCCATTCATTTCAGTGGGAGCTGGGTACTGTAATACCTTTGGGAATCTGGGCACCCATTCCACCAAACTCAAAGCACAAGAGAGTGAAGGACCATGCTTTAGAGTGAGTATATTGAGCTATAATTTGAACACTGAAGATCTATTTCAGTAGCCCCTAAAAGAAAGATCAACAAAGGTATTTGCAATTATTCTTCTTATAGTTTCTCCTTGGACATTTAAAACAGAAATCTGGACCTTTACGGCCTTTCCCCTTATTGTAGGCACACAGGCATATTATTGTAGTGTCTCTCACATGCGTGAGGCTGTGCAGACACTAATTTCATATTATAGAGCCACTCCTGAGGGCTGGGCTGCACACACTAGTTTATTATTGTAGAGTTGCCTTTTGGGCTGGTGTCCACATATGCAATGGTTTATAATTATAGGGATGGCTTATGAGATCTGGGACCAACAGACAGACTTGTTATTGTAGGGTTGCTCTTAACATCAGCTATTCTTCCCATAGAACTCCATCTACTTACTGACTTCATCTACCACTCTCCGATGGGTTGGGATGCAATGTTCATAGATTGGCACACACAGCTCTTTAGGACAGGCAGTAAAGAATCAGTTGCTTATTTGAAACCACAGTCCAGGTTAGGCAGCACAGGACGTAGCTGGGTGTGTTGTATGAATAAGTGAACAAGGCATTCTATTTATTTCACTTATTGATAATCCCTTGACTTACCACCAGTCCCTTGACTTGCCTAGGCCTGGCTGATTCACTTGGACCTGACTCACTTCATCATAAACTCTTTGACTCATCACTAGCCCCTTGACTCACCTGGACCTGAACTTTGCCTTTCTTGTGGTAGAGGTCATCTGCAAGCTGCGTTGGCTCTCCTCCTTTTGCTCCTCCTCACTGCGGTGAAACAGAGTCCGAGTTTCCATGCTGAGCACTCACAGAGGGATCTTACCTGCCAGAACAGAGTCAAATACACCTTAAGCCCCCCTTCCAAATGGGCTGTCTCTGACAGTCCAGGATAACCCTTCATTTGCACGTACAAATAAGCACCTATTAATTTCAATGAGACCAATCTCAAATCTTTAAGACAGCAACTTATTTCCGGTTCCTAAGCATCCATTTGCTTGCAAATGAGGGATTCCCATTTTAAAAACTGGGGCCAGCATCTGCCTTAAAAACAAAGCAGTGAAAAAAATATTTCTAAAAGATATTCTCTAACTCAAACAGAAGTGCTGGGCTTGATGCAGAAGTTACTGGGTGAGGTTCTCTGACCTGTGTTATGCAAGAGATCACAACAGCCCTTTCTGGTCTTAACATCTATGAACAATTTTGGTTCCACAGCAGTGAAATCAATTCTTGGTGAAAAATAAAAATCTAAGAGCAGAGGGTCCTTCAAGAGCCTTTAAAAGTAACTGGTGTCAGGAAAAGAACAATAAATAGCTAAAATCCAGTCACTACGTTGATTGTTCACGAAGGCCCGATTAAATTGGGGGGGAGTCTTTCCACAGGCTTCCATGGGTGTGGGATCAAGCTCCAAAATAGCATTCAGACACTACAAGGAGAAGCCTGGTATAAAACCTAGATGAGCCAGATAGGGTAGATGAGGTGGGATAAATTAAACTAAAATAGGTTTGATAGACAATCTTAAAACATGTTAGAAAGTCATCAGAGTTTTGGACTGGAATCCATAGGCACAAAACTGAAATCTTTTTAAATCCAAGGGCACCTTAAAATGTGCTAAAAGAAAAGGAGTACTTGTGGCACCTTAGAGACTAACGAATTTATTTGAGCATAAGCTTTCGTGAGCTACAGCTCACTTCATCGGATGCGTACTGTGGAAACTGCAGAAGACATTATATACACAGAGACCATGAAACAATACCTCCTCCCATCCCACTCTCCTGCTGGTAATAGCTTATCTAAAGTGATCACTCTCCTTACAATGTGTATGATAATCAAGTTGAGCCATTTCCAGCACAAATCCAGGTTTTCTTACCCTCCGCCCCCCCACAAACTCACTCTCCTGTTGGTAATAGCCCATCCAAAGTGACCACTCTCTTTACAATGTGTATGAAAATCAAGGTGGGCCATTTCCAGCAGAAATCCAGGTTTTCTCACCCCCCACCCCTCCTCCAAAAACCACACACACAAACTCACTCTCCTGCTGGTAATAGCTTATCCAAAGTGACCACTCTCCTTACAATGTGATTATCATATATGATATCAAATCCTCTCGTCTGTTCTCTTTGCTAGAGGTGGAAATGTGGGGGGTGAAAAATGTGGCTACTGGCTCTGGTCCATTTCCTCCCATCAGCTGCCTAAAAAGCTAAGCTATCCCTGCAGCCCCTCCTCTGGGAATGTGCAGTAAGCTGCTTTTAAGTACTGAATAAATGCCTGGGGATTAAATGGCACCAACTTTTAAAAGGGTATCCCTTCCTAGCCCACCCCACCTACAGCCTTTCCAGAAACCCGCTTCATGAAAGCGAACAAGTCCTCCAGAGTAGCCCTGATGTGACTAATACATGAAAGCTAAATCAGTCTGGGTCACATACAAATTACAGGATTCAATGAATGGGTAGGAAAAGACTTTGGTTATAAAAGATTTGGGGTAGATTTTTCAAAAATGCTTAAGTGGATTTAGGAGCCTAAGTCCTATTTTCCAAAATGACTTCGAACTGTAAACACCTGAATCGGAATGCTTTTCAATGAGGCTTAGGATCCTAAGTGACTTTTGAAAATAAGATTTAGGCACTTCAGAAAATGTTACCCTTGTTAATAATATTCCTTGAAAACCCATGCAGTTAAACCTGTCACTGGCTCATTTCAATGGAAGGAATTTTTCCCTAGCTATTTTGGTTTGGCTTTTAGTTTATTGCATTTCTAATCCTAAAACATTATTCAGCCAGGAAGATACAGTTTTGATACAATTATGTTGCATTAGTCTAATTCTTTTAATAAGCTGTTTAAATGTTAATGTAAGTAACCTGCTTAAAAATACCCCAGATGAAAACTTATTTGTCATAGGGAACTCAAAATATCCCAACATGCAAAGTAAATTATAGAATTATCATGTCACTATTCCATCAGTAGAACACAGCTTGAGAAGAGGCTTCCCTAGACAGCAAAGGAAATATAAGGAAAAGAAAATAAGACCAACCTTATTTTTCAGAAAAATGCTTCTATGCTCTTTAAAATATGATCTGAACTATATTTCAGCTGAAAAATAACTACCAGGCATCAGATATGTGTTTCCATGGTCTACACATAAATATTGTTTCATGTTTGCTTTTATTTTACTTCAGTTTTTTTCCTCGATCGTTTTGAATTAACGTTCAATGCTCTGCAACCTAAGGTCTTCTGTAGAGACATAGAGCTTTGTTCTGTTAAAACATAATGCCAGCTGTATTGCAGCCGACTGCTTTCCAGTCCAAAATGCAATGATCTATTTAGAAAAAACTACCAATGAATGGATTCTTGCCGGAAAAACAGTCTCAGAAGGAAAAGACTGGGCGGGGGGGGGGGGTGTTAGGAACCCTTTCAGGCAAGAGACACTCAAGAAGCATGAATTATCGCCATGTGCAAGTGCAATGAACGCTTGCAATAGCTGATGTTGTTATAAAAGTCTTATAAGTCTAGTATAAACTGTAGCCTACTTACAGATAAGCCAGATTCACCCAGAGAAGCACCAGAGAGAGTGGCTGTCCTCAAGAAAGATAAAGGACAAAGGACCGTTTCCTTTTCCCTGCTGATGACATTAAGAATGACTGCTCCCAAAAGAATGTGCCCTATGGGTATGTGCCCACCCTGGAGTCTTAAATATAGCATTGTGCCATAGCATTGCAATGACAATGGGGGAAACTATCCATGGTTTTCTTTACAATGTTTAAACAGGTTGCTGCACTGGCAGCTACTTGCAAAACCTTTTCTAGGTCAAGCAGATTAATGCTATTATCAAAACGGTATTGGGGGGGGAGATGCTGACAGATCTAAGGGCATGGGAGCATAGCGTTACTCATTGCTGATTTACATTGGGCAGAATTTCACAAAGCCTCTAAAATGAATTGAGAACACTTTAATCTCCCCTCCTGGATCTCCCATGTGTTAGTGGACAGCTGCTGAAACTCAGTTACTTTGACATCTCTTTAGTGAATGCCAGTTCCAGCCAATTTGCATGAAAATCTAATTGGATCAGGAGCTGATGGCAGATCTGTGTTTTGATTGGCTTACAGCTGTCTCCATTTGTGGAATATATTACATAGTTCATTTGTCTGATACTTTTACAGTTACTGGAAAATCGAGGCCTGCCTCATCCAAGTGGATCAGTCTTTCCATCCATTGAATGCCAGTCACCATGGTATCTGAGAGTTTTGTGCAGAGCAGCAGAGCCATCTAACAGAAATGATTGATTTTACTTAAAAGTCTGGCCTGAGTTTCAATAAGGACCAACTGCTGCCACCCCTGCGAGGGACTGGTGATGTGTTCTGTGGTCTCAGATCCTGCTACAGAAAAAGAGATGCAGCTCTGAGAGTGGCTGGCTTAGGGGGCTGCAGGAGCAGATTGTCAATCAAGCGCTTCCCAGCTGAATCCAGTTGCATCCGTGTGGCACTGCTCAAAGCAGCCAGAGTTGTGAATTGGCGGAGCGCTGCTATGTACTGCCATGGCATTCACCAGCCGAGCTTGTGCACTGTACATCCAGAGAACGGAGCTACGGGCATGTCTTTTGAGTAGATCCTTTCAAAGTGAGATTTGTTATAGGGGTTTCTTCGGACTCTTAACATGAGCCTAGAGCTTTCTGTATTTCACATTTTGAGGTAAGCTCAGTGAATGCTGGTGCTCTTCAGAGGCCAGGCCAGTGCCAGCCATTCAGATCTTGGCTCAGCTGGAAGTCACGTGTTGACTCTCTTCATTTGCAAAGACACAAACGTGCATGAGCAGCAGAAATGTTCTGATCCCACGGAAGTGAATAGCCCTGCTCCGCACCAAGTTGCAGATGCCTTGCAAGTTCTCTCATATAGTTCTCCCACTGCACCCATCTGAGCTGCCCTGAAGCAACACACTCTTGGCCCCTTCTGAATAAACATGTCCATACTGGGAGGCCAGGATTAAGATCATTAAGCCTATTTTACCGGATCTCCTAGGCCTGCAGAGATGGCAAGTCACAGTGTTTTCCTCTGGGCCATCTCACTCGGCCTGCATCCTCGAAGTTTGGCGCTTTCCAGATGTTGTTTTAGTTAGTCTTTCCCAAGGTGCAGCGGCTTAAATAAAACTGAGTCGAAAATGTCTCCATTTTTCTTCTCTTCACACGGACCCCTTGAAAAGATTAAACAAACAAAGAGCATGTAAGAGAGAAGCACCCAACGCTTCATCTCCTGCTATAGGGACACATTTCAGGTTGCATTGGTGACAATCCATTGTAAACTATGCCCAGGGTGGCTGGCACAGGGAGTGGCTATGTGACAGCTTCCTAGATATAGCTGAGAAACTAAAGATGTAATGCCTTTTTGTAGTGTTACAGATAGCACCTGCCACGCTGGTATCACTAAGACAACTGGCATGACAAGGCTTATCTGTCACTACCATGACATCTGGCTGAGAATAAGTGAGGCCTTTGTTGCGAGGCAACTCCAGCTTTTATTGTCTTCTGAGGCCTAAACCCTCTTATCCCCCAAAGCCAAGGTAAATGCGAAATGATCTCCAGTTAGTGAGGAACAGCTGGCTAGCATGACTTAAAGGCCTTTGGAGCGACGTTGAAACCAGGCTGTTTATCTGGAGCTGGCCTTCAGTGGAATGGAAAAGAGCAGGCTCAAATCATTAGGGCGTTACCACAGCTTTTTCCATGATGGATTTTATAACAACAGCTTCAGTAAAATTAGACAGGTGTAACCACCCCGCCCCTCCCACCCCAGGAGAATGGTTTCAGAGAGAAGACACTTCCCCTTCGGTTCA